AAATATATACTTAAATCCATGAAAGATCTGCAAGAACCATTGTAATTGGACAGCACGCGTTGTACTTTGCAACTATTCTCAGAGCATGATAATATCTAGAAACCCTAATTGTATCGATAAGCACATGATTATGTTAATATGAGTCATTTTTATTGTAACTTAGCTAACTAGATAAAGAAAGGGCCAAGAGCAAGGCCCGGTAGAGGGATATCGCAAACCTAAATGACATTAAATGTACTAAAGCCGCTCTATTGAAATCGCATCGAATCCCAATTTGGTACAAGCTTGACTTTGCATTGATGTAATTGGCACATTTATTCATGTGGCAACACAAAGAGATACAAACGTAGCTATCTATCTATGTGACAAAGGTCATGCACTGCGTGAAAACGAAAAAGAAAATTATTGAGGGTCGCTAGAAACGCTAGAAAATGATAAGATTTAAATGGAAGCGCATAAAGAAGTCGTATATGCCTAGGTATACGTATAAACTCTAGTAATCGTAATGCTACACAATATGATATAATATATGGACTAATAAAAACCAATTATACCACGTGCACACATAAAACGCGTGCGGCAGCATAACTGTATAAACATCTAAAATTATTCCAAGTGATTCTAGCTTTTTAAGAACCAAGTCGAAAGTCGGTACAAACCGATCAAGAACAAACTGAACACTCGTAGTGGAGTACACAAAATAGCGAAAACAAATGACAAACAAAAATTGAAATTGAAAAGATTCCAATCTGCAAATCCGAGTCTGTGATTATTTTTATATTATTCTTATTATTATGCATATACTATATTACGATATAACAACTATCCATTACGGTCCCATTTACCCCAAAATAATTGTTTGTTTGTTTACCCACCCGACCGACCGTTTTCCTAATTTCTTATTTTGTACACCTCAAAGACCACAACTAAAATCAAATACTAGAAATAAGTGCTAGATAAATCGGTTTGCGACCAGGCTCCAACACTCCGTTCGCAGTAAGATTACTAGGGATTCGTCATTTATGTGTGATATACTATATATAGTACTGTAACGTTTTTGCGGGATGGGGCGGAGGGGAGTGTTTGGAGCGTTGTGATCCAACGCCTATTTAGTTTATAAGCGCATAGCATTTTCGGCACTAGTTTCAATACTGGGCCCACACAAGACAACACCACTTAATATTCCTCGCATTTTTCCCAGCTTTATTTTCAGTTCGAATCGCCAATACATTTTACCTATGTGTATAGTTAAGAACGACACTATTCGATGTTAGTTATGTATACCTAGAAAGTTACTCTCTATGTGTGCACGAACCTATCCGTAAATATTTATTATAATTTTAAGCATTTTGAACGAAATCTCTGTTTTCTACACTTATACACACGCCTAAAGTTTTTTGATTTGTTATTCCTAGACAAATAGTTTGATTTTGTTATAGTTTGTAACGTATATTTTCCCCTCCCCTCATGATTTATGCCCCCTTACCCTGCCAAAATGTTCCTAACCGAATCCCAAGCCATACCAACTCTGTCCCACATTTCGTGTAACATCCACCAATTAAAACTAACCTAAAAGTGTCAATGGAACTTTTTTCGATGGCAACGTAACTGTACCTCCAATCCTGCTCATTCCCTCTCTCGCTCTCTATCAACTATCTCTTTCTCTGACACCTATGTCTACCCCCTACCAACGCCATAGCTATGTCTCTGTCTCACGTATGCACATGCATTAGAGCAGAGCAGAGATTCCCAGATATTAACCTAATTGTAATCATATATAAACCCTATACCTAATTTTCTTTCAGCACTATTCTTTGTACAAATCGAAAGAAAAAATTGACAAAAAAGAACGTACAAAAAAATCAAATCAAATGAAACGAAAAGAATGACAACAAAACAAAAAAAGAGAGAAAAAAGGAAAGAATAAATTACAGAAAGTAGTTAGATTGGGCGAGGTGCCATTTGACGAGGGAAGCTCCGCGGGCAGCTCGCCAAAGAACTTTTGAAGAAGACTAAATAAACTGATATATACATGAGAATACATGATATATATAGAGACCCAGTCCTGTATATATTTGTATATGTATATTTTTTACAGCATTCCAACCGAAAGTGCCTTTTTGAATGGGTTGATTCGGCGGGGGCTCCATATTTTTGCCCATGGCATTGTCTCTCCAGCAGCGATTTATGTGTGCCTCGTCTGGAGATTTATGGATATGTCATGCATCTTCGAGCTGTTCATTGTTGTTTTGCATTCAATCGAAGAGAATGAGAACTGGAACTCATCGCTGGAGACATCGAATCTAGTTATTCACGAGACGCGTCTAATCAATAGCGGATGACTCACTTCGAGAGTATCCTCAGCCTTGACATGGCATAACTAGTGCTATTCTAATTGCTAACTGCCCTGTAGAGTATGCAATGGTAATTGAATACTGATATTTTGAATCTTATGAGTTGTGAAAGATGTGCTGTGTTCCTCAAGCTCTTATGGTTATGGTTACATAACATCCAAGTTCCTTGTAGGCATGCACTAATGCCAAGGTCGGCGCTTGGGCATCCCACCCATGGGGGTGGTGGTCACCGCCTTAGCGAGGGATTCGGCTTGGCGTTGGCCACTCGCACAATGCACATGGATAATCGTGTGAAGTATTCTTGGTCTTGGCCGATGGTAATATGCAATTATGCAAAGTGCAAGTTCAGCGGAAAAGGCCATGGTTTTGTTTCGTTTCGTTTTGTTGTGCTTTGTTGGGTGTTTGTTGTCGCCACCATTGTTTCCAGGTCTGAGATTGGCGTTTCTGCGGCGGAGTAGCCCACTTCGACCCACTGCCACCCCAAAGTTCCCATCATCATCGTCATCATCATCATCATCACCATCACCATCATCAGCATTAGTATCATCATAATTTTCAGCTTCATTTGCGCGATGTACCTTGCTTGCGGTTTTGGTTGCATTTGAATCGCTTTAGTTTTCAGTTTTTCAGTTTTACTGCTTTCAGCTCTCAGCTAACCGACCTGTTCAATTATAATTAAATCCGTTTGTAAATATAATTGGTGGGCGTGCGACTGGCATGAATGATGCAAGATTGCTGCCGCCGTCGAGCGTGATTTGCTTTTGCAAATTAGAACAACGAATCATGGCAACGCCCCAGGAAAATGTTACCTGTCTAATCTGGGATTTGGTTCTTCCCTTCAGACGCACTGCGAAAAACAGTTGGATGCGACCTCACAACTTGAACAGCCTGCGTTGAGTGATATAAAACAGAAAACCCTTGAATATAATAATGCATCAGAATATTCTTAGAATTCGGAAAATAACAGAATATATTTGGTAAATTACTATACCAATTGGCCGCCACATTTCACAACTGACCAATGCCTGAAAGTTGTGAGCCTGGTTTTTCGCCGTGCTGCTGCTCGCCAGCTTTTTCTTGATTACCCATACGCCCCGTGTGCGCGTTGGCTAAGAAATGGAGGCTACCACTTACCGCGAGATTCACGGGCTGCCCGTGTAATGGGCTTTTAGGCCTCGGCATTAAAGAACCATTGTCTCAGTGGAGAGCGGGCAGCTCCCAGGCCATCGGCGCAGTGCACCCATGGCCAAGTCAAGTCATAGCAGTCGGCAGTAGTTTCGTTTGCCTCAGAGCCTCCCTCCATCCATCCATCCATCCATCCATCCATCCATACATCCAGTCAGTTAGGCAGTCGGAGTCAGTTAACACTTTTCACATGCCCGCCGGGTCGAACAATGTGGCCCCACTCATATGGGGGCGGTATGACAAGCGTATATACTATGCAGCTATCTGCGACCACGACATCGACAACTATTTTGACATATTTTGTAAATATCCGTGGATAAGTATCGCAATACTATTGGCACACGTACCTCCAACTGCACAGATACAAGCTACAGTTTACAGTTCGGATGTAGATCATAATGTTTTTAAATGCTACTTTGCTATTATTATTATTATTATTATTTTCAAAATCTCATTCTTTTTTCGATTATACACTCTTAGCTTTCTACCCAAAGTGCGGCTTCTTTTAGAGGTTTATACGATAATGAAATAAAATATACAATTTTATATAAAATATAAAAAATATAAAAGGTCCCCAAGATTGGTGCAACTCTTCACACCCATTCAGTCCATTCAACCCATCGAAATGATGACTCCAATCCGTTAGGTTTTTAGAAAATCCGTCACCATTGAGTGGAATGGGGATACTTAGGCAGTTGGCCAAAAAGCCTCTAAGTGGGCACCTCAAGAAATTAACAATTGCCACCTTTGTTGGCGAAATTCAAGCATACAGATCCGCCTGGCTCTTCTCTTCAATGTTTTGTTCAACTTCAGTTGGCTGAAATGAGCCCTGGAAAGTGAAAACCCAATCCGAAATCGAGCTCACGAAGTGAGTCACGTACTAGTCGCAATATTTATCTAACTAAATCGTTTCAGCTGGACTCGCGTTTTATGTTGACCAATTAGCTGTTTCAGGGTCAAGTTAATGATTCAATTAGCATTTGTCATCATTGCTATTGCTTCTCCTGATCCCCCGATCGTGGGAATATTTATAATGATGTGTGGATCACACACCATCACGCCCAACCGGCACATAAGTAGATCAATCGAACGACTCGTAATAAAGCTGAAAATGGAATTTATTTTCAATATGAATAAGTGATCATAATATGCAATAATATTAATCATAAAATGTTACTTAAACCAGAGATGATCCATAGATTAGTTAAGTAAAGCTCGTTTAATCCTAGGAACTATCGAGTCCCAGTCATCCAAGGTATATAGTATGGAGTCTAGATGTTAGATGACTGAGCCCAGACCCTTCGCCATGCAATTCGACCAGTGGCTCGTGGCATGCGTCATAGGTGGCAAGCAACACGAACCGAATCTCTGGGATGCAGCAGAGCTGTCCAACTTCGCGGGCCGCGCTCGCTGGGATTGGAAGTGGGTTCGGCGGGTATAAAAGCGACTGCTGGCCCGGTGTGGTATCATTAGACAAGTGTCGAACGGCGCGTGCGCAACGGAGTCTTGGAGGAGCAGTTAGCCACCAGAGAGCAGTGAACACCACAAGCAGGCAGCCACAACATGAAGTGCTTCGTAAGGACTCGTGGATCTCTCGTGGATTATAATTTCCTCTTGCCAAAAAATGATTTAGAAAAACAGTTCGTCAAAGTGAATCACAGTTTTTAAAGCAATTTTTTTTGTTAAATCATCAAGTGTGCTTGACAATTTTTTTTTAAGCAAGTGACTGTACTAAAAGTAATTTAAAGCTGAAACGTACAGTTTTTTAATTGGCAAATGTTAAACATATGATTCTTAAAATTTCATTTTTTTAAATATTTTCTGAAATTTTTGAATATATTTTTGAAACGGTTAAATGTAAAAGATAGCATACATTTTATTGAAAAGTAAGATCCATGTGGTGACCTTTTACCTTCTCGCAGTTTATCCTGATAGCGACCAGTCTGGTGCTGAGTGCCTGGGCTCAGGACGCGGCGGAGTCTGACCTGGAGCAGGTGGCATCGGCATCGGCACCGGAGGCGGTGGCCGTCGAGGATCAGGTGAGCGCCGCCAGCAGCTATGCGCCGCTGCAGGATAAGAAGCAGGAGAAGCGCTATGTTGGTGGATACGGTGGCTACGGAGCGGGATACGGCGCCGGATACGGGGGCTACGGGGCAGGATATGGCGGTGGATACGGCGCAGGATACGGCGCAGGATACGGCGGCTATGGCTCTGGCCTGGCAGCCGGCTACGGAGGAGCGTACGGCAGTGGCGTTGGCGTTGGAGTGGACAGCTACTACAATCCGTACAGCTCGCGAGCTCTGGGTGGATTAGGTGAGGGTGAGCTTGAGCTTGAGCAGAGACTCCGCGTGTCTGGCCAGAGACTCCTCTAGTTACCAATGCTTTCTCAATCCCCAGATGGTGCTGCAGTGGCCGGCTATGGAGGCTATGGATCCGCTCTCGGTGGCTATGGATCCGCTCTGGGCGGCTATGGCTCAGCCCTGGGTGGCTATGGATCGGGACTGGGCGGGTATGGCGGCTCCTACAATTCGAATCCCTATGCCCTGTCCTACTACAATAGCAGGCTGGGCGCTGGAACCGGCACGGGTTACCCGTACTACAACACCCGTTTCGGTGCCGGTGGCTATCCGTCCAGCTACTACACGAGCAACTACGGCAACAGCGTGGTGGGCGGCGGCTTGGGCGCCCTGGGCGGAGTGCCGCCCATCGGATCGGGCTATAATTACGGTTCCGGAATCTCGGGAACCGTCTACTAGACAGCCGCACAACCCAACGTTCAAGATCTAAGCTAGTGGAATTTATTTTTTTTCATCGATATTTTTATCTAACTTTATTTTTATTAAAAGATGCTATTAAACTCAGAGCCGTCAATTGGCTAGAAAGTATATAATCTCATTGAGGAGCTGGATATGCGCCATGCTTGTCCTTGATCACCCAGAAGGAGTCGACGATGGCGCCGTCCTGGTCATCGGACACCTGCTCGAAGTGAAGATGGGTGCCGTTGTGCGCCTTCAAGCGGGTGTATCCATAATCCTAGAGATAACAAGAAAAGGAATTGAGTATTCCGTTTGGATATGGTGCAAGGGAATCATTTACATTGCTATTGTAGGCGTTCCAGGAGGGCAAGTCCTTGGAGAAGGGTTCGCGCTCCTCCTTGCAGCCGGCGGAACCCGTTATGATCTGGATGGGAGCCTTGGGATTTGTGTATGGCGCCTCGGCACTGCCATTGTACACCTTATAGTTGTAAATGGGCCAAAGGCGCGTGTAGAAGTGCTCATGCGCAAAGATCTCCACATCGACGCCGTGCTTGAAGAACAGATCCTCCAGGCCGAACCATTTGAGCATGGGCAAGCCCTGGCGGATGTACGTCTCCAGATCACTGTTGCAGTCGTACTCCTTGTCATCGCTGCAGTACATCGGTCGGTGACCATAGGTGATGATCCACGGACGCTTGGCCCGATTCTCGGGCAGATTTGCCTCGGCCAGGTCGCGTTCCAGCCACTCGAACTGCTTGGTCAGCAACTTGAAGCCGTAGCTGAGGAAGTAGTAGACCTCCGTGGAGAAGGAGACAAAGTGCACGGGTCCCAAGTTGAAGCTGTACCACAAGCTGTCCGTTTCACCGGGCATATTGAAGCGGGCGCGGTAATTGGAGAAGTTGCTGTGATAGGACAAAGATAGTTTAGCTTGGAAAGTAAACACATAAGAATCGGCAACTACTTACTACTTCTCCTCGTGGTTGCCCGGACATACCATGTAGGGCACATAGGCAGCCACCGACTCGATCTGGCGCATGAAAGCATCACCCACGGCCGCGTTCGAGGTGTCCATGTCGTAGGCAAAGTCGCCCACATGGATGATGGCATCGTACATGCCTCGCTCCGTGTCCTGCTGCAATCGGCCCATCGACTGGGCATTCTCGTTGCCCATGTCCCCGAAAATGGCCAATGAGGGTGACCACTTCTCACCCGCCGGTGGCGTCTTGAAGTTGAACACCGCCGACCAACCCAGCGGACTGCCGCAGGTGTACTCGTATTGTGTGTCCGGCTCCAGGTCCTTCAGTTCCACATTGTGAATGTACTGAGTGCGAGCCTTCTTTCCACCATCCACAAATCGCTGCCAGGTGCCGTTCACCATTATCGGGTCGTCGTTTAGATAGTTCCGGGTGAGTTGAACCACCGAGGCGTTGGTGGAGCTTCGAGTCGACCATGTCACCACAATATCACGGAGGTTGTCTACAACAAAGTTCGACAGCTGCGATTATTTCCGCTTTTACAGATCACTTAAACCTATTTAAAGCTCCCTTGGACTACATCCCAAGTTATATTCAAGCGAATTTTAATAGAATGCTACTTTTATTTGAAAGACTTTCTTGCATAAGTCCACAATTATTGCCACTCACAAGTGTTTTATTGGAGTGTATACTGCAATTACATTTCGTTAAAATATATATGTAGAGTCATAAGATATATAGGTTTCATCAGGGATGAAAGTGTCTTGGTCCGTTTGCAGCAAATAAATCATTCGAAATTGTGCCCGAATTTAAAATACTTCAGTATACGAGGAGATAAATATCACAAAGTTTTTCAGTTGAGATCAGACTGGTATGGTCCATGCTTGTCCTTGATCACCCAGAAGCTATCGATGACCTTGCCCTTCTTGTCATCGGACACCTGCTCGAAATACAGATGGGTGCGGTTGTGGGCCTTCAGGCGGAGATACCCAAAGTCTTGGCTGTGGAAGGCACTCCACGGAGGCATGTGCTTGAAGAAGGGCTCCCTTCCCTCATGGTTGCCGGCAGCTCCCGAAATGATGTGAATTGGTGCACCGGGATTTACATACGGCTCGGCCAGCGATCCGTTGAACACTGTGTAGTTATACATGGGCCACATTCGCTCGTAGCAGTGCTCGTGGGCCCACAATTCCACATCCACGCCGTACTGATAGAAGAGTGGCTCCAGGCCGAAGAAATCCAGCATGGGCAGACCCTTCCGCACGATGGTCTCATGGTTGGCACAGTCATCTCCGTTGTCATTGCTACAGTACATGGGTCGATGGCCGTAGGTGATAATCCAGGGGCGCTTCTTTCGGTTTTCCGGCTTGTTGGCCTCGATCAAATCCCGCTCCAGCCAGTCGTACTGCATCACGATCTGCTTGATTCCGAACTGCGTGAAATAGTAGACTTCAGTGCTGAAACCGATGAAGTGCACTGGTCCCAGATCGAAGCTGTAGAACATGTTATCCGATCCACCCGGCATACTGAAGCGATTGATGTAGTGCGAAAAGTTGCTGTGGGTTGAAAGGGAAAAATCCCTGTATCAGTCATCATCATCGGAATTGGTTTTTGGTGCAGCACTTACTACTTCTCCTCGTGGTTGCCCACGCACACCATATAGGGCAAGTAGGCGGCTATGGTCTCCACCTGGCGCATAAACTCGTCGCCTACCTCTCCGTTTTCCCAGTCCATGTCGTAGGCGAAGTCTCCCACATGGATGATGGCGTCGTACTGTCCGTTCTGCGTTTCCCGCTGCAGCGCTGGAAGGGATGCCGCATTCACCACGCCCATATCTCCGTAGATGGCCAACGAGGGTGACCAGTCGGCGTGCTCGAATCGCGTCCGAAACCAATAGGTGGCGGACCAGCCCAACTCACTGCCACAGTGGTACAGATAGGTGTTGTTCGGTTTCAGGTGGGACAACGTCACCTGCGATCGGATGTGTTAATGGATTAGATGCCATCGCTTAGAGCTCTTGCTGCTTCGTTACTCACACGATGAATGTACTGGGTGGCCTTTTTGGCTCCGCCGTCCACGAATTTCGTGGGCATATGCGCCGCCTTCACTCGTTGATGCAGTCCATCGATGCCGAACTCACAGATGGATTCGTTGGTGTTGTCGCGCGTGTTCCAGGTGACGACAATGTCGAGCACGGTTTCTGCAGGAGCACACTGATTAACTTCGAGCTTAACACTTGGCATATCACATATTTACAAAATTTTTTTAAAAGATGTAGTTAACAAAAGTTGTCAACGGATTGACAAACCATTCGGTCAATGGCATTCTTCACATTCTTATATTATTGAATACTTGTACCCAAAAATAATAAGTACAATAAGTTCAAGACATTTATTGTAAAGATACTAGGTATTTAAACAACAATCAGTGTACAGTCGGATTGGCCTGACTATAATACGGTACTCGGAGTTCATGTACTTATAGAGGCTAAAAACCGATAGGGTACATAGTCCTTAGTGTTTAGACATAGATCCTAACAAGTACGGTATATCAAATACATCCCATACACATTAAAACGTTACTTAAAACAGCAGAGTCCGAGTACCAGTTGTTGAACATTTAGTAACATACGATAAAGATAAGAAGTTCTATCTTATTTTAGATCTTATCAGCTTAAGTTCACTGCGTTCGAAAGCGCTTGCATGTGTGTAAATGCTGCGTTTGTAAAATTGGCTATGTATAAAAGTGTAGTTTGTTCCGGGCTGCGTGTGGATATTTGGAATATATATTATATAAGGAATTTGCAACGCTTATTGCTATACTTTGTGATCGAATCAGGTCGAGGCGAATGTGCGCTACTAATACTGCCTGTTGCTATTGATGCGTGTAATGCCTGGAGACTCCTTTAGCTTGGATTGATTCGGTTCAGGTTAGGAATGTGATTCACTTTCGGTAGCTTCCGTGCTTAGATTTCACCAACCAAAAGTCATCGATGATGGCGCCGTCCTTGTCGTCCGACACCTGCTCGAAGTGGATATGTGTGCGATTGTGGGCCTTAAGTCGTGTGTAGCCGTAGTCCTGGCTGTGGAAAGCGCTCCACTCGGGTATTTTGCCCTTGAACGGTTCTCTTCCCTCCTTGCAGCCGGCGGAACCAGTGACGATGTGCACAGGAGCGCCAGGATCTTCGTACGGTGAGTCCTTCAGCGTTCCATTGCGCACCTCATAATCGTAAATGGGCCAGAGTCTCTCGTAGGAGTGCTCGTGCGCCCAGATGGCCACGTCCACGCCGAACTCGTACAGCAGTGGCTCCAATCCGAACATGTGAACGAAGGGCCAGCCGACACGGGTGAGCGTCTCGGAGTGGGTGCAGTCGTTGTCGTTTTCGTTGCTGCAGTACATGGGTCGGTGGCCGTATAAGATGATCCACGGGCGCTTGCTCCGATTCTCTGGCAGGTTGGCCTTGGCCAGATCCTCACGCAGCCAGTAAAACTGGAATACCAGCGGTTTTAAGCCGTAGTTGAGAAAGTAGTAGACCTCCGTGCTGATACCCACAAAGTGCACGGGTCCCAGATCGAAGCTGTAGAACATGTTCTCCGTGCCTCCCGGCATGCTGAAGCGGGCACGATAGTTCGAGAAGTTGCTGCAACACCAACAATTAGATGCTGCTCCTACCAAAAAGACTCCTACTCTCTGCTAGCTACTCACAACTTCTCCTCGTGATTGCCGGGAACCACCATGTATGGCAGGTAAGCAGCCACTGTTTCGATCTGCCGCATAAACTCATCCCCCACGCGCGCATTCTTCGTGTTCATGTCGTAGGCGAAGTCACCCACATGGATGATGGCATCGTACATGCCGCGCTGCGTCTCCTGCTGCAATCGGGCCAGGGATTGGGCATTCTCATTGCCCATATCCCCGTAGATAGCCAGCGAGGGCGACCAGTCAACGGCGGCGGAGGGCACTGTGCGAAACTGGAAGATTGCCGACCAGCCAAAATCGCTACCGCAATGGTAAGAGTACGTGGCATTGGGCTTCAGGTCCCTAAGCGTCACCTAAGCAAAGTAAGCAATAAGTTTCTCTCTCCGTCTCTGGTGCATCAACACGATGTCAAGGTGATACGATTGTATGTCAAGAGATGGAGATCAATGCATCCTGGCTCATTGGTTCTTAAATTGGTCCTCCGAGCCGGATCATTACTTATAGGTTGCATTTCTCTCACATTCCCACAAATCGATCTACTTGAATCGGTTGTGTGCTCGGGCATACCCTGTGGATGAACTGCGTGGCCTGCTTGTGACCGCCGTCCACGAATTTAGTGGCCGTTCCCCGGGCCTGTTGGGTGAGCCTGACCTGTCCGTCTACCGGTTGACCGTACTCCACCACGCTGAACGCACCCACTTCCTGATCCGGCGGCAGGCTGCGCGTGGACCAAGTGACGACTATCTCGCTATCGGTGCGTTCTGGTCCAGACGACAAGCGGATATCGAGAAACGGGGAAGAAGGAAGGAAAAGAAAAACAAACTTGAGCAATTTCGTTGGTCCAAATTTGGTGCGTTTCAAATGAAAGGAAAATAAACAATTTGCCCTCATCCGGCGTCCAATTATATTTAGATTTGTCATAAACTGATTTATGGTATATAAATAATCAACTCAATTCCAAGATTTGGAACGGTAATGATTCGCCTAATTAAACATGATTGAAACAACAGCGATTTGGTTACTTTAATCATAACTTCAATCTCGTTAGCATCGGTTGTGCCAAATTGAATTTGAATCTGTAACGGGAGCAGGGTCGTCGAGTCATTCATGACCAAATGTTATTGTCCAATAATCTGCTACTTTTGCTTTGCAGCGACGCTCTTTTGTTTTCGTCTCCTTATCGCCAACCCAGTAGAAACTAGAACACAAAGCCAAATGGCCGTTGGGATGACGATCGACCTTATCGGTAACTAGGGCCCCACAGGGAGCCAAAGTCTATCACTCTTTCGAATGCATTTCAGGGCTATGAAGTTTGTAATGCCAATGTTATCGTAGTCAACAGTGAAAGCCAGATAAGGCGGATTAACGTGAATTTCGGGGAGTCACCTCGATTACGAAACTGCGGGCCGAGCGGCTCCCGTTTCTAATTGTTCATTTTTTCGCAAATCGCATTATACAGCGATTTAATTTGGTAATGTGCTTGTATTTATTGCTGCTTTCAAACATTCAGAATTAATTATTGATAAGAGCAGCGGAATACATTTTCTTTTTAGAGCAATGGGAATATTTCTATGAGCCTCTAAAAGATAAGCCGTTTTTATGCATTCGATTATAGCTAAAAACTGTAATATAATAACCTTAAGTGTTTTAGATATCAACTGCAATTAAATATTACAATGTAATACACTCGATTTGGTGGGAAGAAGCACATATTTCGGCATGTGTAATTGATCATCCCATTTACAGGGGTCAACACTGAAAATCACTTATTGCAGCAAACGATTCTGGGCGGGATTGGAAAATAAATATTGATATCACTCGATAAGACCCTCGGGAATTGCGCAGTATAGGCACAATGTTTTTCAGAACAAAAGTGTGAAAACCATCTGTGGATCATGTACACAGAAATAAAATAATTTTTAAATATGTAAGGCTGACTGCGAACAAGTTGCTTTTGGCAATGTAAATAAGAATTGAATACAGAACAGGTTTGCTTTCCTATATGAGAGATTTGTAAAATGATATATAGATATATATATGAATTTACTAAGCACCAATTACTCCCAGTGCATTCTAACACTAATGCAACGGTGTGGGTGGACAATTTACATAATGCGCAAAGTGAGGAAGCTGCACTCACCTCCAAAGGCCAGATGCACTTGCTCCGGCTGATAGTGGACAATGTTGGCCTTCTGGTCGGTGGGAGTGCTCCTAATCCCCGGAAGAAGCAGCAGCAGGAGCAGCGACGCCAGCAGAGCAAAGTGCAGTTGCTGCATTTTTACCGCTATGTAGTTAGTTGTTGTTGTTGCACGTCGATGGGTCACAGTAGTGGAGTCAGCAAAAACATTGCCAAATCACAATTGCGTCGTTGTCAATGTGCGGACTCTGCTCCGGGAGTCGATGGAGTTAAACGGGGAATACGACAAATTCGCTTGCGGGAACAACAAAAAATGAGCACTTATATGGAAATATCCAGCAATATATAAGTGCAGCCACAACAAAAACAATTCGGGTGCAGTGTGACCTTGGCCGGCGAACGGCAAATGCCAGTGGTATCGATTGGTCGCTGGGGGCAACTATCGATAGAATGCGATAAGTGAGCGCGCGACTTGAACTGGAATTGTTAACACATTATTAGAAAATGACAAATGTACCCAAGCTGTTTTGAAAACACTTGAGTAAAAATGGAATGTTGCTTTAAATTATAAACAGCTCGCTTGGTTATACTATTATCATTACTCGTAGACCAACATGGCGGATGAGTAATTATAAAAATAACTATTTCAATGAAATCAACCGATAAATGTATACATTTTCGCAGATTATCTTTATTATATAACAGCATATGGAATGTTTTGGGGATGAAGTCACTCTAAGAGCTAAATGAAACTACATACAATTCGAGATCCATTGTCGGTCCCAACTGAATGCTTGAAAACATGCCGATCCTTTTGTTCATATAAGCGCCTTCTTAGCAATAAACATAGAAGAATATGTATAGATATATAGAGATAAAGATACAGATGGGTATAAATACAGGATAACAATAGAGAGAGAGGGAGGGAGATAATTCTAAAAATACATACAACTAGGATAACTGGATATACGTATGTAAATAGGTTAAGGATAACATTAGCATAACAACTAAGGACTTTTGGCAGCCTTATCGACTATGTGGGATAGATGCTGTGAAATTGGCGAAGCAATACCGCTGGACGTGGACATATACGAATTGGCAATACACCTTACGGATAACAAAATTAACTACTTCTCGCCGGGGGCTCCACTCGATCCCGTGGCCGCTGCGCTGGGCATGCTGCTCTTGCGCTGCGCCTGCGAGATCTGCACGATCCTCGAGAGCGGCGAGTGGGTGCTGCTGGTGCTGGGTCTCGTTCCGACAGGCAAGGGTAGCAGCCGTTGAGCGGACGTTCCGCCGGACTCCTCGGTGGCCCCCGCAGGCAATGCGCCTCCACTTCCACTTCCGCCGGGCGGCGAGGCGGGCGACAGTTCGCGGGCCAGTGGCGAGGGTCGTAGCGAGAGGCGTCGCTGGAGCGCCGACTGCGAAGACTGCTCCATCAAACTGGCACCTGGTGGCGGTGCCTGACCCGGTGGAATCTGCAGAGCAGTTGGTCTCACGCTGAAGCGGCGACGGAACTTGCTCTGCACAGTCGGCACATTCGATGGACCGGAAACCGAGTTTCCAGCTGTTATTTGGCTTTGATTTGCGGCTCTTTCAGTGTAGCTGGGTGGCGGCTCCAATAGTGACCTGGCTGCCGGACCGGTGGCTGCTCCTCCAGTGGGCGATATGCCCACAATAGTGGAGCGACGTGCGTACAACCGATTGGCAGCTGCCGCCTGCAGGGACCTCGTCTGGTCGCCAGCAAAGAGCGACAGGATCGGCGGCAGCTGCGGTGGCTCCAGTCCAGCATTGCCCATCTTGCGCTGCTTGCGGCTACCCTTCGATAATCCGCCTCCAGCTGCAGCTCCTCCAGCCGCTGCCGCCTGTTGCTGTTCATCAAGTACGGCATGGGTGTGCACCACCTCGAGCGCGCGAATCAGATCCGCTATGGTCGTCTGCTCCAGCACATTCATATCCTTCTCGGAGGTAACCGAGAATATGCTGCTACGACGCGGAGCAGAGGCCAACGAAGATGCCGATGCTGTGGCCGGGAAGAGGCTGCCCCGACGAGCGGCCACTGCCGCCATTGCTGCCGATCCGGATCCACTGGTGGCCAAGCTGCCGCGGCGCATCTGCATCTGGGCCAAGGCGTGCGCGGTGGGCGGATACATGCTGCCACGACGAGCGGATGGGGCTTGGTTCTGGGTGTAGATGCTCTCGCGTCGGCGTTTTCCAGCAGCCGCCTTGCGTTGATAGGCTCCTGCGCTCAATGCCGATGGCGGGGTGGCTCCATCCTCCATCTGGAAGCCCATGTTGGTTAGCCCGCCGCCGCCGACGCCGCCGCCGCTGGCCAAGCTGCCATTCGATTCGAAGGGCGGCGGTGGACCGCGTCCGTTGCGCAAATAGGATTGACTGGAGGCCGCCGTGACCGTGTTGTTGTAGTAGTCCAACGGAGATCTGGCTTGCTGCGAGATGATACCCTCGGGTACCGACAGCACGGACAACTTGCGCTCCAGATCCTGCGAGGGACGCTTCTTCTGAAAGGGAAACAGGCGACGCAGGCCATCCGGCATGGAGAACTTCTTGACGCGACCGGCGCCCGGTGATTGCTTCTTCAGCTGCTCCTCCAAGGCATCCGGCTCCAGATGGACCATGGTCGAGTTGGCTGCTCCGTTGGCCCGCTGCTGGCCCTTGTAGCGTTGGTTGAATGCCTCCTGTATCTGCTGGTTGTCGCCGCTCCAAGTCCATTCGTTGTGGCTCGAACGAAGTGGCCGCTCGCTCTGCCAGCGAGGTGCCTCCAGGTTGAAATCGGAGCAGGCACGTGCCCTTGGACGCCGTGGTGATGTGAACTCGTTGACCGTCGAGAACGACCACTCGCTGGCCAGGATCTGGGAATCGGAGAAGCCATGATAGCCACCATAGAGCGCCGCATCCTCCTGCTCTGCCGGCGGCGGTTTCACCGTCGCCAGTGCGCTGACCACCTTGGCCAGCAAATCGGTGGTCTGGCGGTAAGCCTCCGCCGTCTCGAACGTCTTCTCGCGATCCAGTTTGCTTAGCTCCGTATCGGAGTTGGCGTGCACCATGCCCGCCTCCCTTTGGGCGGCAACCAAGTCGGCGCACACGGAGAATGCCCTCTTCCGGCTGGGAATGGGAGCCGGCTCCACGCGGTACATGCTCAGATCCGGACACGAATTGGATCGTGGCAGTGTGTAGGCGATATCTACATCGGTGTACACAGGCTGAGAGGATTAATTGGATATAACAGATGCAGTTCATATATGGTCATTGGGAGTGGGAGTCGGATAAAAGCAGCAAGTAAGAGTTTGGGTTTCCAGTCCAAGTGTCCAAGTGTGATCATGTTTAGGAGTCATATTTGCAGTTCCAAAAAGTGTGCAGTGTTGATATGGTGTTGTACATGTAAAGAAACAGTTTGGATTAGTGTTTGACCTTTGTTTCGTGGGCAGTTGGTAATCATCCGATTCTCGGACCGATTTGGGCTAGCACTGTCTATATGAACTCGTTGTGGGCCACTCGAAATCTCTGGTTATTACTTACATCGGCTGCTCTTCTCTTTCTGCTCAGTCTTAGCCTTATTCTTCGGCTTCTTTCTATTTCCCTTTCGACAAAACTAGAACGGAGAACGGCGACTATGTAAGATTTTTGGTTACCTCTAGAGTACTGGCTAATTGGAAAGTGGATACGAGGATACCGCTTAGTCGGACACGAAACATTGAAGGTACTCCCAGCGAGAATTTCTCTGCAAGAGCCATGGTTAGTTGCCCTCTTGTAGGTGGACAATTGGACACAAGTGCAATATTTGATATAGTTAATATTGTTTACATATGGTTTGCCCAGTAGGTATATCGTAATCATTAATAATTATATTACGTGTTTCGTTTTTAAATAGAACTGGTTAGCAATGTTGTTTATCAAGCCAAACGTTTCATAACTAATATGTTAATCGTAAACACTTGTTGGTTAAAAATCCCTTATTCTTATGGTCAAATTTGTAGATATCGGAATTTGCTTATATTACCCTGTATTAATTATTATATTGTATTATAAAGTATGGAATGCATTAACTCTAAGTTGAAAACACCCAGGTTATTGCGATCCCTAGACAGATAAAGTGCAATCCCATTTGGGAACTCGGAGTGCTAGCCCATTTGTGAGATGTCCATGGATGGCGGGAATCGTTTACCTTCACTTTGAGGATGTAGAGCTCGTTGAGCATTCGCCGGAGGTAGCCCACATCTTTGGTGACACCAGACCAGATGCGATTTTGGGTGGCCTTCAGGTTGGAGGACAGCTGCTGCTCCAGGTAAGCCAGCTTCTTGCTCTGGAGGCCTCTGTTCATGCCAAGTGTGCGAATGTTAAATGGTTTTGATTATTGTTGGGTGGTTAGATCATGCAGAAGACACGAAACGTAGGACATGCGATGGATTTTGATGCAGCCCAAAGCTTACCGAGTAATAAATGTCATGATCATCACCAGGTATCCCAGGGAGAAGATGAACCACACGATCACAAAGATCTGATACACCACGAACCAGCCGCCGAACTCCTTGGGCTATTGGCAAATCCAAGATATGGTGTCATATTGGGTGTCTCCTATTAGGACTTTAAGCCAACTCACCTGGTTGCTTCCAAATGTGGGCACATAGTCGCCAAATCCGATCGTTGTGGTGGTCACATAGCTGTAATACAGCGAGATGGAATAGGGCCAGTTCTCGAAGTAGGTGAACACCCACGAGGGCAGCAGCAGGAAGAGAGCTATTCCCGGAATCAGGGCAATCACCACCGTGGTGATCAATCCCAGTTGCGGCGGCACATAGTGCATGTCCGTGGACATCTTGTACTTTTTGTAACGTCGGTAGATCGCTTCAAACTGGAATAGGGAAACGAATTCATATAATTTGTGGTAACATCTTGTGTTATAGTACCGCACTCACCGTGCGTCCAAAGTATTCGCCCAGGCCGGCAAAGAGGATTCCATTGACGGGGATGCCAATCACCGAGTACACTATCATGATCATCCGTCCGGCGAAGGTGGTGGGCGATATGTTCCCATATCCCACCGTGGAGCAGACGGTGAAGGCGAAGAAGAAGGCATGGTAGAAGGTCCACGTGAAGGGCGTATCATCATATGTGGGCGGCAGGGTAACCGGCTTGTCACAGTAAGCCGAAATCCGCTCGAGAATCTCATCCTGCGTGGTCGTGTTCTTGTCCCCCAGCTCTTCCAGCAGATACTCTGCATCGAAATGAATGAAGGGATAGTATGAAATCAGTGCACTTTCATGCCCCATTGAGCGTGAAATCAAATCAACTTTAATTGATCCCCGCCATTGTGGTTCACGTGTCCAACCGAATCCGATCCGGAAGTGAATGTGCCGCCGAGCGCTAACCTTCCGCTTCTCGATGGCAAACAATGGGCACAAAAGAAACCCGTTACGAACACGGAGATCGCTGATCGTCACTGAGTGGCTGACCCTCCGGACTTACCCCATCGTGCTATATTTTACACTTGAAACAATTGCCCGGAGAATCGAAGCTGCTGAAAACTGTGCTATAAAGATCGCTAATAATATACTACTATCTTTATGAAGCCTTCTGAAACCGAGCAAACTTTTAAACCTTGCATAACATTGCTTTTCTCTCAGTGCTTGGATCTCCATTAGCGATCACCACGATCATGACCTGACCCGGACGACGTTGCTCCGGGTAATTGAAATGCGCTGGATGAACGACCACAGTCGGTTTCATTGAAAGATATTTATCAGGCAAACAAATTGAGATCGTGGCCGGAAAATGAGTTTAGCGATCTTGCTGTAGGTCAGTAAAGTAGAGCTTTTCGATCGGATTTGGCTTCTGGGAATTAATTAAATGACGAGACATTTTCGCAATGCTTTTAATGCAATGATTCTGAAGTGATAATACTAACTGGTTGTAATACTATTGTGGGAAGTAATCAATTGAAATTGAGCCACGAAACCCCCTAGCTTGTTTTTAAGACACCAATATACAATCTTCAAGTATTGCGATTATCAATCAGCTCTGATATAACTGAATCAGAAATGATTGCACAATCTATGAACAGATAGAGATTATCAAGTTTGGTCTTAATCTATCACTTGTTTTCGGTCTTTGAATGATTAAACTATTGAATGACCAGTCTATTGAATGGCTGTTATGCTAATTGATTAATTCCCAGCTTGATTGATGTGTAGAACCGTTCTAACCGGATCGGATGCTCTCTAATCACTAGTGATCCTCCAGCTTTTTTCGTTATCAGAACCAAGTGCATACACCTGTCAGTGGAGGTTCTCATGATCGGCTGTGTAACCTTTATGGCCAAGTTTATCGGACTAGAGTCTCGAGAGAATTCTAATCGGCAGATTGTCTGAATGCGACTGCAATCATTCAATAAACCCGAGCCTTGTGCAAATGCCAACCATTTTTGAGGTACGCCCGTAATCTTTTAACGAATTGCATAATTCAATAAATGTGTCCGGAGTCTGGAGGCAAATGGCCACCAACAAAGGGACTTGCAGTCATCTGGTGTCAGCTCATCTCATTTCAGCTCGCATCTTGCATCGCTCATCTCTGATCACAACGGGACACAATTGGGGGCAATTCAGAGATTAACAGCAACCACATCAACAACTATATGTCCGTCATATAGTGGCATGCCACACAGACACACTGACGAGCGGGCACAATTTAATCGCCTTTGTGGGTCCACTGGGAGTCTTGATTGCGGGCAATTTGTTCATAGAAGTCGATCATTATCTCGAATTCTTGCAAGTCCTCTCGACTCGCCTCTCTGGATTACACTGATTATCTCGGTGATTGAGTGCGGCCCGGAAAAGTTTGTGGCAAACAAATTGATAAATTAATTTAATTAAAGCTGTCCAAAACGAGGCGGCAGCTCCGCTGGCAGTGCATCAAGCCATCTGAGGTCGAGGTCAGTGGATGTATATAGGGCCCTACGATAGGATCTCTGCTTCAGATCGAAATATTCGCAAATACAAGAAAAAATAGTCACTTTTTCCAATTTTTATTATATCTACTGGAAGCCCCTCTAATACCCCATACTAAATATTTGATGTCCATAATTCTCACTTCCTGTTTTTAAGTTTACTCGTCGGTTTATAATATCATGGCCTTTGCGAATACAAAATCTAAGAACTTAAATCAATTATTCATTTTAATTCCCTTCATATTAAGCTGTGCTATAATAAGCTTCACTGCAAAGTGCATCAAGTTGTTAATTTATTCAATGATAGCCAAAATCAGTGATCAATGCTCAACTTAGGAAATTAATTATATCTTCTATGCGAAACTTTGAAGCAATATACCCCACATTCCAAATCACTGATCACTCACATTCCTGGGAATTCTTGTAGAAGATCCCTTGGCCGCCTCATTTGGCCGGTCACCTTATCAGGTGTCAACAGCTCACACCTAATCTCATCGTCTTTGTGGACACTTGAAAGTCATCGGCGCACGGTTGTGGTCATAGCCCATTGCCCATAGCCAATTGAAGTGCTGTTTCGCTTTGGTCGAAGTCGGAGGAGTGATTATGGTGACTTTGTCCAGTGGCTTTGCCTGCTTACATATGCATGCCGAATGTGGAGACAGCAAGTGATATGGGAATCTAGGGAATTAACTGGGTCTATCCCGTAACCCCCGATTGACAATCGAACCCCTGACTCATTCCGAGTGACCTAGGTTGACCAGAGTTGAGCTGTGCGATCATTGGCGATCGTGTATCAGTTAAGAGTCTGGTTCGATTCAATCCGTGTGGATTCAATCCACACACGTCTTGGGTCGATGGTTACTAATTAGAGCGTTTATGGGTTATTTATTTGCATAATTAACACATTTGATGTGCTATTTAAATTCGGATTTATTGCAATTGAGGAGGCATTAAAATAAATACATCCGCGACTGCCGACCTAGCTCGATTTAGCGTAGATATAATCGCTCTCACACCCCGAGTAGATATACTCGCATCTACACAGATCGATGTATCCGAATATAGTGGTCGCCTTGTCTATAAGGCAAACAGCCCTGATTGCCCAGACTTGACGAGTCGTAAACCTCGCACTTTGGTCCAACATTTACGCACGTTTTGCCAAAAAAAAGACGAATCCAGATAGCATTGGGTATACATACATACGTGTATCTTTAAGTGGGGATTTTTGAACCTACGTCTTTTGCACTATATACTCTCGATTAGTTGTTTGCCATCCAGAGTTTACGACTGAACTAATTGTAATATTTTGGAAACTATCAAAGTTTCAACTGCTTAGATCGCATTGTTACTATAAATACCTAGAATTCAGCAATTGAAGTGTTCTTGTTTAGGATCTCTAGATACCTGCAAGCTAAACTGTGAAAGTGATCCACGCGCCGAGAAACCTCAACAAGTGGGTGTCAAAGCTTCAAAAAAGCCGACGTGGGTCTAGACTTTCTACCAGAGTCGTGGGCGACCATTTAGTTGGGTTCGGCGGCGGGATCACATGCTCATGGATCGTCCGGATCGGATCACGCGGCTACTTATGACTAGTGGATATGGGAACAGTGAATACTGATATACTGATCGATTCTTTGGAAGCTCACCCACCGTTGATTGCAATTTGGGCCTTGCGCTGCTCGCCGCGCGTTATCTTCTCCTCGCCGTGCTCAATATGGTAATAGATTGCCGCCCCGAACATCAGGTAGGATATGTAGAAGATGAGCAGCAGGATCCATCGATTCGGCGACATGCTCGGCGGATTGTCGCACTACCTGAAAGGACAGCGAATGCAGCTAAAGATTCCAGTTTGGCAACGAGGAATCGCAAGCGGATCGGAATGGGCAGTAGTTTTCGAGTTGGAATATCAGCGGATCAGTGTTTTTTTTGCTTTTCAGGGGGGTTGCGGTGTGATTGTGTTGCTCTTGTTGTCTGTCGTTATTTATGGTTGTATCGCCGCTAATCGAGGCTTGATTGCGATTGCTCGAGTGCTGACCACTCGCTATACTTGTTGTCTATATGTGCATGATAGGGGAGAGCAGAGATACCGGACTACACGGCTCCATGCCCTCCGCCCAAAGTGGCGGTCTTATGCGTTTGAAGCCAGTCCATCCCAAAGACAGTCCATCTACACAGTATGTGTCAATCATCTTGTACTGGCTGAAATATACACTCAAATAAAGTACCAGCATGGTAGCAAAATCCCATCTAAATTTCTATTATACGAGCATAGTTTAAGTCATTGGGGCGCTGGTGTACGGTACCGCCTTGGTCGTTGCAGTTGACCTATTCCCTGACCGAATTCCTTGGCCAAAACCACGCGCAGCCCGTATGAAAGTGGCCTCCTTAGCCGACGATCGTCATCGTTGGATCGCTTGTGGAGTTGCCATTGCCAGTGTGGCGACGTCATCGCTGCGAGTCTTACACCTATTGACACTTCTAATCATATCGCCGGGCAGAACAGGGCATTACCGCTAATTTTCCACGATTTCTCGCGGTGCAAAGTAGTCCGCTAACGATTAGCGACCGTCGCAGACGTTGCCCTCCCAGCAGTTCAGGTCCCCATCTTGGGTCTCTTATCTGCGAGAGTATACATAGTGTGTGCGAATGTCTGGGCATCGCGGGGGTCAGGGTTATGGAGGGCTGGGGGCTGGGGTTGTGTCAACCCACAACTCGCCATGTGGATCGACCGCACTTGGCTGCCAATTAGCGATCGCGAATGCAAAACACAGCGGGTTGACAAGCCGCGTACCCAACTGCAAACTCGAATCATCAGGTGTCAAACGTTTGGCGAGAACGCTACTCATTATGGTCAATGATTAGAGTTCTTGGAGACGCCATAAAGATCTTGACAACTGTCAGACCTGACAACTATTTTGGGATGTACTACTGTTTTGATACTGCAGCGCTTAAGCCACCATAAAGATATGTGTTGCTGATTGGTTGGTAATTGGCAATTGATGGTGAAAGTTCTTACAATATCATAAAGATAAACGATCGGGGGCCGCTTAAGTCATCATCAGCCGTGGTGCAGATTTGTGGCTCTTGCCATATCATAAAGATAAAGATCGCTGCCTGTTCGCCCTAATGAGTTCATGTTGGGGTAGTTTCTGTGGACTTGACGCGCGCGGAATCCCCCGCCAATTCACGTGAATCAACTAATCGAACTTCTTGATTCCCGGTCGGTTCTCTTCAGTTAGTTGGTTTTTAGTACCTTTGTGGGTTCTATTGTCAACGCCGATTCGCTATCGCTTCGTATCGGTAAAGTCTTCTCATTACACGCTTGATTACATTGGGACAATTCGAATTGTTTATTCCCGTTGTTCAAGTCAAGTGATCGCTGATAGCGATTCTGCGCTGCGTTTTGTGCTGCAACAGTTTTAATTATTATTATCGTTCTTACTGTATAATTTCTATTAAATTATCTGTGGAGTAGTCTTGCGTTTGTTTCGCGGCATGTTGGCTACAACAAACCCAAAAACATCGAATGCGAGCACAGCAACAACGGCGACTACAACAATTTGTTAACAATAAAAATAAGATCGTCTATTGGGCTCGTTCCTCGAGCACTGACTGGCTGGCGATGACGCCGTTCAATGGAAGTCTTTTCATTTATTGTGTTTCCTTTTTTATGTATTTATTTATTCCGAACAAACATTTCGATGACGCTGTGTGTTCCCAAACGATCTTTTTAACGCTTTTTTTTCTTTTTTTTGGGCTTGCCCCTGGAATTCTTTTGGAGTGGAAAATTCTGCCAAAAAGTTGGCGGAAATTACTGATAATCGGGTTAACAGCAAATTAGGATCGTTATGTCATAAAATATCAAATATTTAGAGGGTTCATTTTAATCCCAAATCATAGTGTATGATCGAATTGCACTAGGGAGATCACTTTCGCATAACTTTTCAGTGGCCTGTGAAAATTTGGCAGACACCCACACACGACGTAAGCCAATAAAATGGAGCCTCTCTTTATCAAATCGAACCCAAGTGGAACCCAAATAAAACCCTGATAAACAGTCGATGATCATGTAAATGAATTCAGTCAATGTTTGACGTCAAGTGGTGTAGACAACAGAACATTTAATATGACAATAAAAGCATTTACTAATTGATAGCCCACATACATATGTATGTACTGCAGTTCATGGTGATCGGTGGGTATTTTTGGAGAAATCGTCGAAGGATTGCTAAATCACTATACGATCAGGGTCACGATCCGGCGATCAGTTGATCCTCACGTGCATCCCCAGAGAACCGAGATCTGAGAACTGGGAACTGGGAACTGAGTAGCCCGTGTTACGTGCAGAATCGGCGGGGAAGTCGTACGGACTACGGTCGTATATTATGTGGAACAAAATTAATAAATAACAAAATATTTACATATACCGACGCTAAATAGTCGTATAATCAATAATAAATAGCAGCAACTGCAAAATGAACACGTTTAGTAAATAATCGCAAAAGTCGTCAAGCGTCAAAAGCCGTGCTGTGCTTTTCTTTCATATTTTTTTTTGTTTTTCAATTTTCAGCTCTCCAATGAGCAAGAGGAAAGGGAAAATCTCGGGGGCAAAAAAGGAACAAGAATCGCAAGCATTGTGTCCGGAGTCTGAAAAATCTGGGCGGAAATACCAGGCGGGCCTGATGAGCCTATTGGGTGCTAATGATGACATTGTTTTACAAGCCGGCTTGGCACGATGATTAATTGAATTGCGATCTATCAATGTCGCGTTTCCTCCGTCGGTCTCGTCATCGTCTTAGTTGGTGCTTCTGGTTTTCCTTCTTGTGATAAGACTAAGTTATTGTGATCAGAGCCCCGAGCTATACACGGCAATTAAAAACGACAGTCATGCGTCCATAAGTGGATAAAAGATTGGATAGGGTTCCTAACTTTTATCATGGAAATCAGGAATTATAATAATGCTATTGTGAATCCTTTCATGTTTGCAAACGTTGGATAATTGTTTATGTTTTCGTTTTTAAGCATTACATTTCATTTGGATAATATTTTACTGATAATAGTATCTAATAGTATCATTCCCCATTATTCTTCCATTATGGAAGATCGACTGTAAGTCTGTCTGTCACATGTATTGCTGATTGGCCACTATCCAGCAACCGTTAACTGAGTTACCAACTAACTGAACTGATTGACGAACCGAGGGAATCTATGTATATATAATCTGGGCCATATTTGCTTATAACCAAATGCCCCATGATGGATGACGTTGGCCTAAGTGCAATCGCAAGACTTCTTGAGCCCTCTGCCAATCGACTGATCGATAACAGATAACTGGTTGCCGCTATTTGCGCTTACGGCTAACGGTACATTCGTGCGGGTGTACGTATGTAAGTAAACGTTTTTGCATATGGTAACAACAGTTAAGCAAACACTTTTGCACTGTGAAACAATTTCGTTAATTAAATGCATTCATACTACAGATACCGTTTCGTAGGTGCGGCACTGATTGATTTACCGGATTGTGTCGAAACACTCTAAAAAAACTCACTCGATGCCACCATCTTGCCTTTCTTCCAAGTATATTCTTCTACAATTTATGATATTTATTTAAGCATTTTTAAGATTAATCTTGTTAAAGGTTCTTGTGTGACGAACACAGTGGTAGGGGCTTGGGATGTGGATTCGAACTTATGTTTTGCAATTTATACAAAGTCTCATAAACCGTTTTTGAAAAGAGGTACATGGATTTTTTTCGCGTGTGTAGACAACGCGTCTGAAGTGGAGCGCACATGCGAATCCGATCGTTCAGATTGGGCCCAGAAGAACTCTAACCTGTGCACTATATGTAATCGTTTCGATTCCGGGCGTGCAATGGATCGCACTCTTGCTTTTCTTGCTTTTCTCTTCGTGGCCCACTCAGATAACGCCGTGCAAGGTGACCACGAGAACAACACCAAAAAATAATGACACACGGATCGAAGATCGAAGAGATTTGGAGGGGAGGGCGATAATGTGTGTTTTTACCAGTGCACTGATTTCGAATTCCTTATTTATAAATGTTTTTGTTTGTTTGCAATTTTGCCGTTTGCCGTTCCGATCCGCTTAAGTTTTATGCTTCACTTTCAGGATACCCACGATCAAAAATTGTTAAAAAAAAATAAACACTCGCAGGAACCGTTGGCTTTCGCCTTTCGCTGTGTTGTGTGCAGCTTCTTCGAATTTCTTTTTTTTTTTTTTTGAACGAAATAGCTTGAAGGGAATCGCGAAACACTGGAAGACTGAGCGATCGCGTCGCAGGACCGTTACCGTTAAGCGGTGCACGCTGAATTGAGGCACTGCCACTGCGAGGTTGACACTTTTTGTTAACGGTGACGATCGGCGGCGGTGACGTCGCTCCGTCGCTTCTCGATTCCCGTAACCGTTCTGATTTAAATGGAACGCTGCTCCAAGCTCACGTCGGTTTCCAGTCTCTGTCGGCGAAGGCGTAGGCGTCGACGTCGCTGCCCGCTAACCGCTATTTCTGTTTCGGTTTCTTTTTCGCTTTTCCGTTTCGTTTTTGACTATTTCCAGCCGAGCTTTAAAGTCGCCTTCTCTCTTCCCGTTTTCCCGCCAGGAGTGAGAGAAGCCGTTAGAGCAGATGCAAAGAGCGGAAGGAGCTTCACCGTTACGTTTCTACACTTCAGCGAATCTTAACAAAAAACGAGCTCTCAAAGTGCGGAAATTAAATAAAAATATAATCCAGAGCGGAAAAGCTCAAGCCACACGGCAAACGAACGCGGCATTAATAAAATTTAACCAGCTCCTTTAACTGCCGATCGGTGAGTTCACTTATAGGTTTGCATGGCTTTGTGTACACTGTACGTGTGATCTCTAATCCAGTGCTCACTCACTTTGAGCTCTTCGCTCCCAAAACAAGAAGAAGACAGTTCGGAATCACTCAAAGAGGTGTGTGAGTGTCTTTTTTTTCGAGTGTGCGGGTGGGGGAGCCCCACCCCCAACCCTGAACTAACTAAACTAAACACAACTGAACTAAACTAAATCAAGTTGAAATGCCGATCGACGAACGGCAACTACGAAATTCGCCAGCAGTGCTCAGCCCACTAACCGCCTGCCCCCAACCTACACCCTCCACCCAAAACCCCCCACCCTTCCAAAATCGATCGTCGCAAAAAAGAGATACTGTGTAGTAACCAACGGAATATGGGGTTAGTACAGTGGAGCAAATCGGCGCCAGGATTGAACCACACATCTCCAGATCTTACACTATAAATCATACAGTGGAAATATTTTTTGCAATCGATAACATTTCAATAACATTTCCTGTAAGCTATAAAATTCAGCCCTGACATGCCCATTTAATTAACGTAAAAAACTTGATTTTATTCAAGCCAATATAGTAAGTTATCTACAGTTGCTCTCATTGGGCATTTGTTGTTAAAGTAATCTTTATTGCAAAATTGATTTTCAGGAATGCGTTTATTATATCTTATTGGTTTAAGCTAAGAATAGAGTCCTGGAATTTATAATTTTCTGAGAACTTCCTAAATCGTAGTTGCATTGCTTCGATTCCCCAAAAGAAAAATGTATGGATTAAAGAGACTCTATTTCTTATCGCTATTGGGTAGTTTGGATGCGAGCATCACTTTTCCCGACCCACTGTGTGCTCTGTTTTCGCTGATCAGCTTGGCCAGCGACCTTTTTTAGAATATACGGAGCATGGGCCAGATTCCCCACCCAAAGTGGGCGCAAAACAACCCACCCACGGCGCCACCACCATCGCCATCGCCACTGCCACGCCCACCGACGAACCGTCAAGCCCACAAAAAACACACACCTAAACGTGCGTTGTCAAAGGAAAATAAATAAATAAATAAAAAGAAACAGCCGAAGCGACCACAATCGCAACCAACGTAAATAATTTGTCTACGGATTTTAGTGCTTTACGGCGGGCACTAGGCGAGCACAAACTTAAATCGTCAAACGGCTGACGAGCCACCCCAATAGTCCGATCCACACCCACCCACTGAACCACCGAGCCACCAAAACAATCACCTGGTAGCACGTTACTACCCACCATCATCCCACCTTGATCTTGGGGCTTAACCGCTTTAACCACCTGATTCTGTCATCGTGGAAAGTAGTCACTGTCAATGCCATTGTCAATAATGAAGAACCCCCGTCGATCGGCATGGATGGGTAAAAAGAATTTGATTTTGAGGTACCTAGAATATAATCACTTTTATGATCCCTTGAGATCATAACATACAAAGAACTTACAATCGAAGATCTTACAATCAACACGATAATCCTTACTTGAATTCCTAGCAAAACACTAGTTCACTTTTATTTAAAATTGTTACCAATATTATATTGCAGATTTTTGAAACCTGGAAATATTCTTTGCGGAAAGGATCTTGTGGCCCACTGTGCATGCGGAATACCTGCAAATTGACTAGGGAGTCGAATCGAAGGGAACTCAAGATGGGAGAGCCATGTAAGTGCAACTCAAACCGCTTGACACTTGACGATCAGAATTGAGTTATCGCCTCGTTTTTTTTTTGTCTTTTATTGCTCACGCTCCACATTTTGCTTGTAGTCTCCCCAGATCGATTCGGATTTGGCGACTGCGAAGAGCGGAGAAAGCTCAAGAGAGCGCGGAGATGGAGATAGCCGGTGCCAGGGGCTTCGGATCGCCGGGGACAATGATAGTGTTGATAACAAGTGCTTTGCGCTGGATATGGGAATGGGAATCTTCTCCGACACCGAAAGCCGTGCACTGTAAGTAATTCTTTTTGAAGTTTTTAAATCCGGTCTTATATAAAGGTTTTTAATATCCTTTAAAACTCAGTGTTATTGATTCTCGCAAAAAGCGCACTTCACGATCATCGGAGGTCTATAGTTTCAGAGTAAAATGTATGAAATGAATTAACAAATAAATTGAAAAGGTTTAATGATCCAATAAAGAATCAATATTATTTATGATACATATACGTTAAATAAGATATCTATATGATTACAAAAATAATTCATATAAAGAGTGGTATCATACAATAAGAAAAGATAACCAGGGTGGTAATCCTCAATACGATAAAGTATTCTTCGCAACAATTAATTAATAATCACTGCGTAGAACAATTACAAGTTAGTACATTTCAAGTGTTCTTTATACGCGTTCCCCAGAAGACAAATGTATAGTTTCTATATGTGGACTATTGCCCGTAATTCGCACGTCATTGATCGTATTTGACCAACTCCACATCCACTCCCTGCGATGGGAGAAAACCGCCAAGCAGCTGGGTTTGCTCCTCAAATCAGATCGGGCAAATACGACCCAACGAGGTGCTAAAAGATCCCATTTGTGCTCGATTGCTGGACCCTTTAATTGAAAAGATAAGCTGCTTCTGCGAAAAGTGCGAGTTTTCGTTACAGAAGCGCAGAGATTCCAGAGTGAGCCCCAGTGGACAGAGAGAAATAACTCAAGGTTGAGTCGGAATGGTGGAGCCCTATTTAAATTGCCAACTGATTCATTCCTATACGAGCTGCATTAGCCAATGTTGATAAGCATAATTAATTAATTACGCTGCAGGCACAAAATGCTAACCGGCTTTGATGTATCGATGGAACCGCCCTGGAACCGGCATTTCACCTGTCTTCGCAAAGTGGCCGCCACAAATCCGAGTGTATTTAAATAAATTTAAACGAATTGTAATTGATGGGGCACCAGGCCCCCGGTTCTCCAAAGTTATAGTCTTGGATGCCGCCATTTGGAGCGCGGACAACCGAACGGTAATGATCGATTTGCGGTTGACACCTGGTGATGATTTGGGCGCCCTTCCGGTTGAATCAATCAATCATCCGAAAGATTGATGGATGGTATTGGGAAACTCCTTCAAGAGTTTCAGTGAATCTATCAACTTGCTCCAGTAGAAATGTTCCCAGCACAATTACCTTATTTGGAATCCTTTCCATGGCATCAACTGTAGTCATAATATGAATTTATGTACTAATCAATCACTAAAAGATATTGATTGAGAGCAAATAATATCAAGGCTCTAACAACCATGTTATAAATAATGATCGTTTATTAAACTTGACAAATCAGTATTAACGGGTGTGAGGGAATAGATACCAATAATATTGATGTATTACAGAGCATTTGAGTTTTTTAACTAAACAAAAACAACAAAATCAAAACTCAATGGGGCAGCAACACATGAATATCGTTTTAGATGAGCATCGTATTGTAAAATCCATTTCTCCATGTCCCATTTTAAAGGCATCGTTTCGGTGATTCGTTATTTGTCTGGTTTAACGTATGTATATATTACAGGCTTTTAAATATTGGCTATAACAGCTATAACACAAAATGTACAAACGATTTGGATAGTTCTGAAGTGAGTAGCGTCTCAGCTGTTTTTACTGATCAAGTGAACGATGTTGGCGATCATACGGCTGCCATTTTTGTGGTGCAGCAGGTTAAGGCACGGATCGCGAATCTTCTCCTCGAGCAGCCTGATCATTTCCGTCCGCAGGCACTGCACCATCTCAGCGGTCTCGAGATCGTGGGCCTTCAAAATAATCCAACCGCTCTCCAGCAGGAACAGGAAGTCCCCATCGTGTAGCTCCACCTTAAAGTCGCTGCCAGCAAACAGGACCATGGCGATGAGTGGAAGCATCGAACAGTCGCGAATGTAGATGGCGCTGGTGCGCACCTTCTCCTGAAAGACGAGGAACGGCGCCGGGAAGACGGCCACTTGCGAGTTAACCGACGACGGGTGAATCTTCACGTAACCATCGCCGCGCGTCTTGAAGCGCAGGTCGTGGTGACTCGGCTCACGCGGCACAGCACCGCCAGCTGTTTGGATGTAGACGCGATCCGGCGTCATGATCTTCACTATGTTTGGGTAGAGGGCGGCGCAAAGGAGCGACGTCAGCAGCATGTTGTTATCGCCGTTTTGGTTCTGCTCCACACCTGCAAAGGGTTCAATTCAATATTTTAAAACCATTTTGTTCCGTTTTATGTGCCACATCATACCCGTCAGTGTTAGTATATTGTCGCAGGCATTCTTGCGCCTACGCGGCACATCGATCGGCACAAAGCCAATGGAAACGAGCAGCTCCAGGTATTGGTACTTAATATCAGCTATCGTCTCAAGAGTGTTCAGCGACAGAAAGTGCTCACTGGCATAGTTTCTGCTTGCTGCATAGTTTCCCCTACGCGCAACATCCAGCCATTTCTGTTTAAAACAATGAAACATTATTGCAGATCCTGTATTATTATGAAAGACTAACTTACTCTGTATGCATTCAGGACGGTGAGGTGATCGCTCTTGCCCAGTGCGAACATACGTTTGCACTTGTCCGCCTCCGTGCGTTTATTGAGCGGACTTACGAAGGGGGACTTGTTGCTTAGGCAGGCGGCGATGGTCAGGACGCTATCCAGACACTGGAAGATCGCTCCATATAGCATCAGCTTGCCGATGCGCACGTCCACAGGAAGGGCTGCCAAATGATGGCCCAGCGGGGTCAATTGGTCCTCTGCATCGAGTGCGCCCACATCCCTCAATCGAGCCAACGCACCTAATATACTATCCTCTGTTGGCGCCTCCAGTGTCTCCAGGAGAACAGAGAGCGTGTTGCGTGAGGCGAACGTCTGCAGCGTCTTCATGCGCAGCACAATCTGCTCGAGTGGCACTCGCTGGATCTCTGGCACCGGCTGGGCCAGAATGTGGTGATTATAGCGGTAGCTGGTGTATAGGTGGATGCACACACCAGGCATCACACGACCGGCGCGACCCTTACGCTGCTTGGCATTGGCACGAGAGACCCAGACCAGGTCCAGTGACTCCATGTTTCGGTTTGAGTCGAAGCACTTCTCCTTCATCAGGCCGCAGTCCACCACGAACACACAGTCGTCGATGGTCACCGAAGTCTCAGCTATATTTGTGCTCAGCACGATCTTTCGTTTACCGGGCGGTGCTTTTTTGAAGACTAGCGCCTGATCTTCGCTCGAAAGGGCAGAGTGCAGAGGCACCAGGATGAATTTGCCGGCGCGTGGAGAAAATAGAGCATTGTCCAGCAAGGAATCGTGCACGGTTTGGATCTCCCCGAAACCAGGCAGAAATATGAGGATGGTTCCTTCGCGGGGCCAGTCGTGAGAGCCATCAACGATGTATTTCAGTACGGATTCGATCAGTTCTGGATTGATAGTCATGGGCTCCATCAGGTAAATACTCTTGCATGTGGGCTTACTATATTCTAATGGGAATATCACAGAGGAATGATAAGCGGTTGGAGTCGTGTTGTCCTATGCAGTCACTTACCTGCGTATCGCTGATAAGTCTCGGCCAAAGTTAGTTTTTCGTCCTTAATCTTTTTGCCTGGCGCCTCTCCCGATGCTTGGACATCGGCATACTCCAGCTCACGCTCCAGTATTTCCTGCTCCTGCTTCTTTAGCTTGCGGCAGTACTTACTGTCGTACTCCATGACGAAGTTGCTCATCTCGAGGATATCCTCCAAAAAGACCTGCTGTACTGGGAACGTTCGACCAGGAATATCCAGCACGGGAGCGCCGCCAAAGTAATCCGAAAAGAGAGCGGCATTGAGCGTGGCTGACATGAGAATAACTTTCAGATCCTTGCGTTCCCGCAGCAGGTTCTTCAGAATTAGCAATAGAAAATCCGACTCCTCGGAGCGCTCGTGCACTTCGTCCACTATGACGTGGGTGACGCTTCCTAGTAGCGGATCCGAGGCCAATCGCCGCAACAAGATACCTGTGGTGCAGAAACTGAGTCGCGTGCTTTGCGACACCTTGTTTTCCAGCCGGATCTGGTAACCCACGAGCTGACCAATACGATCCAGACGCTCGGCAGCCACTCTCTCCGCCACTCCGATGGCCGAGAGTCGTCGCGGTTGCGTGCATATGATTTCTACGTGTGGCAAGTTCTCCTTTGCTGGCAGCTGAAGGGCACGGAAAAACCAATTGTCCAAAATGAATTGCGGCACTTGGGTACTCTTGCCACACCCCGTTTCACCAGATATTACCACCACCGGCGCGCTTTCTATTTGCGCTAAAATTCGTTCAATTTCGGCGAAGGCAGGCAGCTGTTTCCGGCCATCTATGATCTTCTGGTAGCTTTCCTCCTTTCGTCGCTCCACAAACTGCTGCAACAGGCGGCGATTCTCTCTCGTCTGGGCTTCCACGTTTCGCTGGTGACCCCCATCATTTCGCGACGTTTTACCACGTGTGTAATGAGAGGGTTTCGGTGCCTGATTTTGCTCGGCATCCGAATTCACTCCACCGCCCTCTAGGTCAACGTAGAAGAGCGATCGCTTGGGCGAGGGAAAAGCAGATGTGTCCAGTCGTCCGGCCAGCTGTTCATTAGACTGCAGCAGATCGCATATGCTGTACACACAGGGAATGCCATCCCGGCATATCTCTCTGGCCTCCTTGTACAGGTGGCGTGCGTAGCGGAGGCGTAGCTCGTGCGGTATGTCGTGACAGGTGGTTTTCAGGTAGATGAAGGGCGCTTCATATGGATAGCGACTGCCTGGTGGAAAGCGCACTTCCACGTGAAACCACAGCTCATTATCGTTCTCGTCAACGTTATCTGAAGGAGTACGGAAAATATAAGGTATTCAGTGAGCGCTCTGAATTAAACGAAGTTTATAAGCTTTTCCACGACACTTACCCTTTTTGGGCGTGTCCGATTCCGTGGGTTGTTGAGGCATGTGAGCGAACCGGCACTTAGGACCGAACTTACAGGTGCCATCCCGATCGAAATTGCGACACCGTAAGGGAGCCTTTTTCTTCTTGTGGAGCGCCGCCTCGGCAGCGGCAGCAGCGGCGGCCAGGACGGCCTCCCTGGCCTTTCGCACCTCCGAGGGACTGTGGGCTAACAGGTGGTCGATGCGAAACTTGAGGTTCCACACGCGATTCGCCTCTCGCTCCTCGTACGCCTTATCGTAGATGGACTCCAGGGCCTCCTTCTCGTCGGCGCGCATGTCCAATATTTCTTGCTCGCTGGGTGGCTCGAGAGCCAGTTGCTCCTCCTCGGGAATCCTCATATAGTGACGGTACAAAAGCAGTAGAGCGGCTTCCGTGTCGCCGGAGCAGTGCTCATAAGCTTCCAGACAGTGGACAGCCTGGAAGCCGTAGTTCTCCAGTTTGGTCAAGGCATATCGGCGCAGGCGATCCCCATCACTGTCGTTGCCACGCGTTGAGCTCACGCCCTGGACACTCTGCACCACCAGGGTGCCGCGATCCTGCCAGTAGGAGTGCTTCACGCCATGACCTCCGCGTCCACGATCCTTGTACTTGCTGATGTCGTCCAGCTGGAATTCCGGTCCGTGGATCTGTCGCAGCGTGTCCATGGTCATCTGGCGGGACTCATCGCTAAGACGAAGGACGTGGAGTTCCGTTTTCCGGGACTTGTTGTCAGCCGCCTGCGATTTTGGCACCGCGGGCACGTTGCTTTTGTCAAGGAATTGTGAATGTATGTAATTAAAGATGAACTTCGTTGCGGGACTAGCGGCGTACTCACGTGGTGCGGATGTTGCTGGGACTGCGGAGGAAGCAGTCCTCCATGTGCTGTCGCGAGGATTCGTCCATAGCCTCTGGCAATCGTCAACGTAGGCCAGGTAAGTAAATTTTGCAACTGACGCCAAGCAGTGCTGCGCAGTCGGGCTTTTGAAATGTAGCTAGGTCATATGTTTAAAATAGCTAATATATATTTTTCGAGGTTTTAACTATGTTTCGGAGTACAACATTCATTTCAAGTAAATAACTAACCTTATTATTAACCTCAATATCAATGTGATGAAAATATATAACTGAAATATGTAACTACAAGCCGATGAAAAACTGCTAAAGATGGTATCTAGCTAAATGTGCACCTCCGATACCACATGTCGTGAAAGTGTGACCAGTAGATTACTCGAGCTCGATATATTATTGGTTTTATCAATCGATGACAGCTACCGATAGACCGCGAGACTTGGAGTTATTTTGACACAACTATTTATAACTCAACTATATAACTATACAACTATATAATAACCCAACCCATTTAAACTATATATGCTGTAAACGCTTTTTATTTGACGTTTTTTTTGTAGTATAGTATAGTGAACGTAACACCGCAACTAGTTCCGAATATATTTGGAAAGGGCCGAAATGAAATTTGGTTGATGTGTTGCTAGACGTATAGATCTAGACTTCGGTCTCCAGGGGATCTATATCGTTCCCAAAATAAAAGCGGCCATCGCGAGCCACCGTGATGCTTGTATGACATTCTTGGAGATATGTATTATCCTGGTTATAGCCATCTTTCAGCATCCCTTCTTCCATTACTGGGGGATCGAGCTCATCGAGATTCGGGACATCAGTTCCACGGGAGACATAGGTCGGTGCCTTCATGGAGAAGTTCTGGTACTTCCGTGCAGCCAGTGGGTTGTAGTCTTTAACCCGTTCTGGGTTGCTGGCGCTAAACTCCTGGAAAGCATAGTAAAAATTTGCGGCAAAATTTATATTGGCATCGAAGTCACACCAAACAAGGTCCTCGATGGGAACCAGCAGCGGAATTTTGAGCTTATCTATACATTTCCTTAGTATAATAAAGTTCTTCCTGAAGTCCGATATTTTATTAGTAGCGAAGATGACATCATCGAGTGGCATAGCTCCCTCGAAGACCATGTCGATAAACTGACAGTAGACGGCTCCGGATGACAGTTCCTCGATGCACTGAATGTTCGACTTCAGGGAATTATTCACCCACTTGCGAATAATCGACGAGCACTTCATTAGTGCTCTCTCCAAAGGGTTCATTTCGACGATCAGCATTCTGGCTTAGACAATTTTATCAAAATCTCTAAAGAAAAATGAAACATTTTAATTTTTTTATTTTTTTTTTTTGTAAAATTTTGTACATCTTACTTTTTACTAATAAAAATGACCGCACCGAACAGAGTTTGTTTTTGGAGTGAGGAATAACGTTAGGTTAGTTGACAATTATTAGTATGCGCCTACTTAACATCGATTTTTTGAGAATAGGTTTTTGAAAAATTTACAAAATCTGTTGAGAAATGTAAACGTAGAAAAATTAAATTTGTTTCCCGTTTTGATATCCGTACTAAGCCGAGTGCTTCGTATGAATGAGGAAAATATTTACCCAAGTAGAGAATGTTAATGATTGATTTTTTTAAACAGCAAAACTATATTATTTTTATGAAAAGTAAGCCTTGAAGAATGTGTTTTAACTTGTTTGAAAAGCGAGGCTCACATCATCAGTAAGATCTCAACTCTTTTCATAAGCACATCGAAAACTAACCAAAATTTTTGGAAGAAAATTGTCGTGAAAATTTTTGTTTATAAATTTGTAGAAATTTTTTCCAAGTAGTTTAGTAAATTCATTTCGCCTTTCTTTTGTTTAATATCCAAATTAAATTCATTGTTATTCATGATGACAAACCGCCTGACAGAGCAGCTGGTAGAAACCAAGGCCAAGTGCTCCGACTACCGCAAGGCTGTGAGGTTGAATGCCTGGGGCAACGACCTGGTGGACATCACCATTTGCCTTAGGATGCCGCTCCTGGAGGTCCTGGCCCTCAGCTTGAACAAGATCAATACGCTGAGCAGTCTGGTGAACTGCACTCGATTAAAGGAGCTGTATTTGCGCAAGAACGACATAACAAGCTTCGATGAGCTGAATCACCTGTCCAATGCCCGATCCCTAATATCACTCTGGCTGGAGAACAATCCGTGCTCCGATGCCGCTGGCGCCGACTATCGAGCATGTGTGCTACGTAAGCTGCCCAATCTGAAGAAGCTGGACAACGTAGACGTTTCCGACCTGGAGGTGCAGGCCGCCCTGCGGCACGAGTACTACCCGGAGCAAAAGAGTGCGATCGTTGCTCCGGTAGCGGAGACGTCCTTAAAGCCCGGCTGCAGTCCCAAGGTCAAGGCATGTCTCGATCGGATAGAAAAGGAGCGGGAACGGGTGCGTGAGAAGGAGGAGCACGAACGTGAGCTCGAGCAGCGGGAAAGGCAGGGTTGTGAAAACTACGATGATATGCAGCTGCCCAGGCCGAATAGATTTGCTGGCGGGGATGCCCGCGATGTTAGGGAAAAGTTTCGAATAAGGAGTCCATCGCCACAGGGCCGAAGGAAAATCCCGAGTGAAAAAATGAGCAGGTGCATGCAGCCCAATCCACATCCTGTGCCGAAGGATCAGCATGATCAGCAGCCGGTACAGCCGGCACAGTCGGTACAGCAGGTTCAGCAGCGTCAGCAGAATCCCCCGGGTCACAGGGTCGCCAACGCTTCCGCTGCTGCCATGCTAATAGCCCAAAACCATATGGAGAGGATATCCCCATCACCACCGATGCCCGCCGCCTATTCCACGACCTGCGCTAGTCTGGAGAAGCGACGTTCTCATAATAGCAATCTGTTCACGGCCGCATTGTGCCTCATCCGCGAAATGGACACAAGCCAACTGAAGGCCCTCGTCCTCGCCATCCACGAACAGCTTGCTAATCACCCAACAAGTTACTAGATCGCTCACCTTTGGTAAACAAAAATTGGAAGCTCCCATTTCAAAAAACCCAAAAAAACTCGCATATTTTGTACATTTAAATAAAAAAAATAATCATTTATGACAACTATTCGTATTCTGCCAATAAATGATTTCAAATTTCTGGCCAAAATGTTGGCAAAAAATAATCCGAATTTTTGCGATAGCAATAAAAGTAGTTGTCCAAACCTAGAATGTCATACCCCGTTGGATTCGTAACAAAATTTCCTATCGACCTGTATTCAAAAATGGAAATTCTATTTTTTTGCCATTTTTCGCAAATTTTGATGGGGGTACCCCTTATAAAAAATGTGAAAAATTGTTAAAATTTGATTTCCCGAAAATCATAAAAGTAGTGATAGGCATAGTTAGCTGGGTTTATTAGCAGCACAAAACAGTCTTCATTTTAGCTGTGCCTTCTTTTTTGGCTAAGTTATGGCGAAAACCCCGTTTGAAAATATCCGATTTTTGAAAAAAAATTTTTTTATGATTTTTTTTTGATAAAAATAATCAGTTTTTTTGCGATAGCAATAAAAATAGTTGTCCAAACCTAGAATGTCATACCCCGTTGAATTCGTAACAAAATTTCCTATCGACCTGTATTCAAAAATGGAAAGTCAAATTTTTTGCCATTTTTCGCAAATTTTGATGGGGGTACCCCTTATAAAAAATGTGAAAAATTGTTAAAATTTGATTTCCCGAAAATCATAAAAATAGTGATAGGCATAGTTAGCTGGGTTTATTAGCAGCACAAAACAGTCTTCATTTTAGCTGTACCTTCTTTTTTGGCTAAGTTATGGCGAAAACCCCGTTTGAAAATATCTGATTTTTGACAAAATTTTTTTTTTGATTTTTTTTTGATAAAAATAATCAGAATTTTTGCGATAGCAATAAAAGTAGTTGTCCAAACCTAGAATGTCATACCCCGTTGAATTCGTAACAAAATTTCCTATCGACCTGTATTCAAAAAGGGAAATTCTAATTTTTTGCCATTTTTCGCAAATTTTGATGGGGGTACCCCTTATAAAAAATGTGAAAAATTGTTAAAATTTGATTTCCCGAAAATCATAAAAGTAGTGATAGGCATAGTTAGCTGGGTTTATTAGCAGCACAAAACAGTCTTCATTTTAGCTGTGCCTTCTTTTTTGGCTAAGTTATGGCGAAAACCCCGTTTGAAAATATCTGATTTTTGACAAAATTTTTTTTTTGATTTTTTTTTGATAAAAATAATCAGAATTTTTGCGATAGCAATAAAAGTAGTTGTCCAAACCTAGAATGTCATACCCCGTTGAATTCGTAACAAAATTTCCTATCGACCTGTATTCAAAAAGGGAAATTCTAATTTTTTGCCATTTTTCGCAAATTTTGATGGGGGTACCCCTTATAAAAAATGTGAAAAATTGTTAAAATTTGATTTCCCGAAAATCATAAAAGTAGTGATAGGCATAGTTAGCTGGGTTTATTAGCAGCACAAAACAGTCTTCATTTTAGCTGTGCCTTCTTTTTTGGCTAAGTTATGGCGAAAACCCCGATTGAAAATATCCGATTTCTGACAACAAATTTTTTTTTCGATTTTTTTTGATAAAAATAATCAGTTTTTTTGCGATAGCAATAAAAATAGTTGTCCAAACCTAGAATGTCATACCCCGTTGAATTCGTAACAAAATTTCCTATCGACCTGTATTCAAAAATGGAAAGTCAAATTTTTTGCCATTTTTCGCAAATTTTGATGGGGGTACCCCTTATAAAAAATGTGAAAAATTGTTAAAATTTGATTTTCCGAAAATCATAAAAGTAGTGATAGACATAGTTAGCTGGGTTTATTAGCAGCACAAAACAGTCTTCATTTTAGCTGTGCCTTCTTTTTTGGCTAAGTTATGGCGAAAACCCCGATTGAAAATATCCGATTTCTGACAACAAATTTTTTTTTCGATTTTTTTTGATAAAAATAATCAGTTTTTTTGCGATAGCAATACAAATAGTTGTCCAAACCTAGAATGTCATACCCCGTTGAATTCGTAACAAAATTTCCTATCGACCTGTATTCAAAAATGGAAAATCTAATTTTTTGCCATTTTTCGAAAATTTTGATGGGGGTACCCCTTATAAAAAATGTGAAAAATTGTTAAAATTTGATTTCCCGAAAATCATAAAAGTAGTGATAGGCATAGTTAGCTGGGTTTATTAGCAGCACAAAACAGTCTTCATTTTAGCTGTACCTTCTTTTTTGGCTAAGTTATGGCGAAAACCCCGTTTGAAAATATCTGATTTTTGACAAAATTTTTTTTTTGATTTTTTTTTGATAAAAATAATCAGAATTTTTGCGATAGCAATAAAAGTAGTTGTCCAAACCTAGAATGTCATACCCCGTTGAATTCGTAACAAAATTTCCTATCGACCTGTATTCAAAAAGGGAAATTCTAATTTTTTGCCATTTTTCGCAAATTTTGATGGGGGTACCCCTTATAAAAAATGTGAAAAATTGTTAAAATTTGATTTCCCGAAAATCATAAAATTAGTGATAGGCATAGTTAGCTGGGTTTATTAGCAGCACAAAACAGTCTTCATTTTAGCTGTGCCTTCTTTTTTGGCTAAGTTATGGCGAAAACCCCGTTTGAAAATATCTGATTTTTGACAAAATTTTTTTTTTGATTTTTTTTTGATAAAAATAATCAGAATTTTTGCGATAGCAATAAAAGTAGTTGTCCAAACCTAGAATGTCATACCCCGTTGAATTCGTAACAAAATTTCCTATCGACCTGTATTCAAAAAGGGAAATTCTAATTTTTTGCCATTTTTCGCAAATTTTGATGGGGGTACCCCTTATAAAAAATGTGAAAAATTGTTAAAATTTGATTTCCCGAAAATCATAAAAGTAGTGATAGGCATAGTTAGCTGGGTTTATTAGCAGCACAAAACAGTCTTCATTTTGGCTGTGCCTTCTTTTTTGGCTAAGTTATGGCGAAAACCCCGATTGAAAATATCCGATTTCTGACAACAAATTTTTTTTTCGATTTTTTTTGATAAAAATAATCAGTTTTTTTGCGATAGCAATAAAAATAGTTGTCCAAACCTAGAATGTCATACCCCGTTGAATTCGTAACAAAATTTCCTATCGACCTGTATTCAAAAATGGAAAGTCAAATTTTTTGCCATTTTTCGCAAATTTTAATGGGGGTACCCCTTATAAAAAATGTGAAAAATTGTTAAAATTTGATTTTCCGAAAATCATAAAAGTATTGATAGACATAGTTAGCTGGGTTTATTAGCAGCACAAAACAGTCTTCATTTTAGCTGTGCCTTCTTTTTTGGCTAAGTTATGGCGAAAACCCCGATTGAAAATATCCGATTTCTGACAACAAATTTTTTTTTCGATTTTTTTTGATAAAAATAATCAGTTTTTTTGCGATAGCAATAAAAATAGTTGTCCAAACCTAGAATGTCATACCCCGTTGAATTCGTAACAAAATTTCCTATCGACCTGTATTCAAAAATGGAAAATCTAATTTTTTGCCATTTTTCGAAAATTTTGATGGGGGTACCCCTTATAAAAAATGTGAAAAATTGTTAAAATTTGATTTCCCGAAAATCATAAAAGTAGTGATAGGCATAGTTAGCTGGGTTTATTAGCAGCACAAAACAGTCTTCATTTTAGCTGTACCTTCTTTTTTGGCTAAGTTATGGCGAAAACCCCGTTTGAAAATATCTGATTTTTGACAAAATTTTTTTTTTGATTTTTTTTTGATAAAAATAATCAGAATTTTTGCGATAGCAATAAAAGTAGTTGTCCAAACCTAGAATGTCATACCCCGTTGAATTCGTAACAAAATTTCCTATCGACCTGTATTCAAAAAGGGAAATTCTAATTTTTTGCCATTTTTCGCAAATTTTGATGGGGGTACCCCTTATAAAAAATGTGAAAAATTGTTAAAATTTGATTTCCCGAAAATCATAAAAGTAGTGATAGGCATAGTTAGCTGGGTTTATTAGCAGCACAAAACAGTCTTCATTTTAGCTGTGCCTTCTTTTTTGGCTAAGTTATGGCGAAAACCCCGTTTGAAAATATCTGATTTTTGACAAAATTTTTTTTTTGATTTTTTTTTTGATAAAAATAATCAGAATTTTTGCGATAGCAATAAAAGTAGTTGTCCAAACCTAGAATGTCATACCCCGTTGAATTCGTAACAAAATTTCCTATCGACCTGTATTCAAAAAGGGAAATTCTAATTTTTTGCCATTTTTCGCAAATTTTAATGGGGGTACCCCTTATAAAAAATGTGAAAAATTGTTAAAATTTGATTTCCCGAAAATCATAAAAGTAGTGATAGGCATAGTTAGCTGGGTTTATTAGCAGCACAAAACAGTCTTCATTTTAGCTGTGCCTTCTTTTTTGGCTAAGTGATGGCGAAAGCCCATTCCGAAATATATTACCGAAAATCAGCAGAAAAGTGACTTGCTCGGCTTATGATCCGTAACAGCTAAAACAGGTCCCAAATTTTATTTAATGACATATTTCAGTTTTTATGTAATAATCATCCTTCTTTGATCAATCTATTTAAAGTAGGAAGTCCGTGGAATGCGCCTGTCACTTGTCTCGGTAATCATTGCCGCCAGATGAGCTCGTAGCTTCTTGGGCCAGATGAGCTTGGATTTGCAGCTACCAGGAAATTTCAGGCCTTGATCATGATAGCGATATGGCCATCAGGTAAACACAGCGACTTTTCCGGTTTACAACAAAGGGCGACTATTGTCAGTCGTAAATAGAGTTACATGCCACTTCGGAATGGCAACTCTGTATGGGTCCGAGGTTATTTTCTTGGATTGTTTGCTTTTTTTTTGTCACCGACACCAGGAGACATGTGAGCCCTGGAAAAGATAGGGAAACCGACGACATTCCTCCTCCTGCCCACAGTCTCGAACAATTAAAAGCCAGTTAGGTGAATTTGATGCGGGTAGGGTCGAAAAAAGAAGTGGTTATAGAGAAAAAACATTCAAATTGATTTTAATACAATTTTCGGAAAGCCGTACTAAAAAATGTTATATTTCTCTTTTGGTTTTCCAACGTTTAGAAAGCTAAATAAATAAAGTAGTCCATCATAGTTTTATAATATTTGCCTTTCTTTAAAATCACATGTATGCCTACATTGCATTTCCGCATTCCCTGACAATTTCTTTCAGTGTTCATTAAGCCCTAAAATTAGATCTGAGCTAAGACATTGTAAGCGATTTCCTTCTAATGACAGTTCTTACATCTACATTTTTCGGTTCAGCCGGCAACATTTTTATGGCCTCCATTTAAGGGGAACTCACTTAATGAACTCGTTTCGCCCGGCCTTTAATTTTCACTTAGTCGCTTTGAAGTGCGCCAAAAGTGAGCGAGTTCAGCGAATTTTGTGAGCCGTGTTTCGGAAATGGTTTTTATGTATAGACAATTATTATGAGATAATATACCTAAATATATAAATATAATACCTAAATAATACCTAAAACTCTAGAAACTTGTGCTAACCTCATTCAAATATTAAATCAAGTTTTTTGGAAAGCCATCCAAATCTTCTGATATTTCAAAACATGGAAATTTGTGATAATCAAAGAATTTTTCAAGATTTGCCAATTTCGTTATGCGCATTTCCCATCGCCAGCAGCGGATTTAAAATGGTAAAATATCTTGAGCACTGCAACCATAATTGCCCAGTCAGTCGCATTAAAGCCATGATGTTCCCGCCAGTTGACCCCCACATAAAAGTGCCGAGTCACGCACATGGAGACGCTGGAACCGGAGACATTGAACCACGACCCATCGTCAAATCGCTTGGCGTCGCCTTGAAAACGTGAAAATCGCTGGTCGAAGGGGAAAATTCATTTTCGCACATACATACATATGTAAGTAAGTACATACATAAATTCGCTTGAAATCGCATTCGAATTATGCGCATATTTGAGGGCTTTGCTTATGAAAATGTCAGATGGCAAGTGGAAAATGCAGCGGCCCAAAATGAAAATTAGTCAACTTAAAGACGGCAATTTGGGGTAAGATCTGCGCAACTTCCATGGAATCCGCGATGGTAGTACATATAGTAAATACATATGGATAGATGGCGTTTCTGGCCTGGGAGTTTTCCGACGACCTTTTATGGCGGCATTGTGTGCTAAACAGTCTTGGAGCTTCCAGTTCCATACTCCAAGATACTCCAAGCACCACCAGCACCACTGGCACCACCGGAGAAAAAGAAGAAGCAGCCACCGACGCGTCGGCGGTGGCAATTTCTCACGCTCGGCAAACGTTCCATTGTTCCCACAATTTTCCATTCATTCAGTTTGCTCGCGATCTGCTCCTACTTAGTAATAAGTTTTGCCCGGAATAAAAACACACGATCTGAACACCTTCTTCTCTCCCCCCCTATAAAAAATCCGAAGAAATCCCCTGTCATCATCATCATCGGAGCCATGAACATCATCACATCACCGTCTTATTCGCCGGGGTAATGAGTCTGTTTTATATGGGGATGAGGTTAGTATAGCAAGTACGTGGAACTCTTTCCTATATACCATATACTTATGCATGTACAGTAAGTACTTGAGGGCACTTGCAACGCGATCCCATGGAAAAGATCCAAATCGGATCACTTGATGGTCGATTGTCTTGCTAACACCCCATGTTATGACCCTTTTTAAGCCGCCTATAGAAATTTAATTAAGATTCGGGAACTTCCAAATGGGCAATAGGGTTTTACATTATTATCAACATTAAAAACAGTTTAGATGCTTGCGATACATTAAAACTAAAAGCACATCATAAATACTCATCTCTTAACAGTGTCGAAATACCATAATAAATATCTTAAATTGGGTTTACAATGCAAATCCTTTCAAACAACACCAAGTTCAGTTCTTAGTAGCGGTAATGAAAACGCTAAGAGCGTTCTGGTTACCATTCTGTATTAATATCTTGCAATTGGAACACGATAAAGATAGTCAACCCAGATCATATCACATTATCGTGACTGAGTTCACTAAACACCAAGAAAACGAGTATCTCACGGTAATCACGATGACACATTTACAATATACATGTGTGATTCGGTATCATTATCGTCACACGAGCATGCAGAAGCGAATTTGTCTAATCACTTTCATTACGATCACGATCGCCTCAATCCCCACTTCCTAAGTTTATGACATGAGCACGTCCGAGCAATCGCCAAGAAGTTTTACTCTTACGACTTACAGCCATTAAAACGAAATCCCAGAAGTCCGTAATGGTCACTCCCTTCTAAGCCAGGCCAACAAACATGTCCAACGATCTGTCCCCGAACCATCGTAAAAAGAGGTAGGCTCTCCCCATTGCCACTCGCACTGTAACCCCCACGCCCATCAGGGATGTCAACTCAAAAACAGCCAAATTTGCATACATTTCGCCTTTATTTACAAGCCCGATAAGTCCCAATAAAATATGTTACTCCTAAGTGTAAAAAGATAGCTGAATAAAATAATAAGCTTAGTAATAAATCGATCGGTTGAGATATACCATTAAATAACGTGTTTCCAGCAGAATCCTACTAAGAGTGTTAGTAATTTGCATTTACTTCATCGAGGTTCATTTTAAATGGTTAGAATTTTTTATTTGGTCGGAAAAATAGCCGGAATGGCATCACTGGAGCCCCGTTTCCGTTGCTCGGCTTACATGCAGCAACCACCTTTGCTTCTGTTTTTGTTTCTGTTTCTTCCGCTACCTTTCTTCGTCATTCTGCTCGGTTTTTTGCGCATGCGCCAACGAGACAGCGAAGTAGCACAGTGGGATGGATTGCTGAAAAAGTATGGAGTATAAAAAAATAATTTTTATAAAAAAGGATATAGTGCATGTCTAGTGAGTTGGAGTATGGAGTATAAAAAAATAATTTTTATAAAAGAGTATATAATACATGTCGAGTGAACGGGGATAGCTGTCTTATCTGTAAGTCTTGCAGAATTGAACTTCGAACACCTTTCGGTATTTTTTTTTTAGCAGCTTTTTGAAATACATAGTTTAATTTAGTCGATTGTATATCTTGCATTATCTGCAGGGCTTTGATATTTCTGCGCTCTTGTCCGCTTTTTTATGTCCTGCCTAATAGCGAAAGAACCCACTGTGCTCCGCTGGCAGGGAAAAATGCCGAGATCGCGACGAAGACGGCTTAATTTTCCGTCGAGTCGCTCTGCGTTTGCTCAGTCGACTTTCGTCACGATTCGCGTTCGGACGTGCGCCGCGCGCTTAACAAGTAACGAAACAAAAAACCAACCCAAGAAACCGAAAACCGGGAAGAAAATTAAATAAATAGCTTGATAATTTCTGTTCGTATTTTGTTTATGTTCCGTTGTTTTTTTTGTTTGTGACGGTGGTGTTTTGCTGCTTTTTGTTTGGCTGCAGTGGCGCGTAACGCCGCAGTCAACCCCCAAAACAAAACAGCAAGATAATAACGACTACTATTGGGTCCTGGGACAAACAGGATGCGCTCGAGTGACCCTGCGCACCTGTTCGCCAACGACAAGTGCCACGGACAGCAATGAAATTTCCCGGCCCTCGTGTGTGTGTTTGTGTGTGAAATTTTCTTGTAATTTATGCAAAGCCTAGGTGAAGGCGGAAAATTCAACTGGTGTTTCTTTTGGGTGGCTTTGTTCCTGCTGGTGGGAACTGGCCACAGCTGAAACTCCCAGCCACAAGCTGGAACAACTGATAGCCCACTTTTCGCTCATGGTTTGTGCCAGCCGATCATGCTGATTGTGGACATGTTGACGCTGGCATTGGCAAATGAGCCGATGTGCGGCGGTGGCAAAATGAGATCCAGTGGCAAGGATAGTCAGGCGGCTGGAGCAGCAGCAGCAGCATCTATGGTCAATACAACTGGCGGTGGACTAGGCCCAAGTCGCGGGCTTTCTGGCCACTTGGCATGCGAGGCACGCAGCTCACGCGACAATGTTGCTGCCGTGCATGACGAACTGCGTCAGCAGTGCCACTCGGCGATAGTTGCGGTGGAGGCGCGTGCGCGTGCTGAATACACTGGCAACAACAAGGGCGACAGCAACAACAATGGCAGCAGCAGCAGCACTAGCTGCAACATCGACAACTCTGGCGACAACACAGCAGCGGAAGTGGCCACGAAATGCGAGTACGCGCAACTCGAGCATGAGAGGCGGAGCGTGAGCGCAGGCGCATACTTGCAACCACCCAATGTGACAGTAAGCAGCAGCAGCAGCAGCAACAGCAGCAACAACAAGGGGGGGCGCAGCGCCTGCTCAATACCTACAATTGGCAGTGAGCTTTTCAAAGCCAACCTTGTGGCAGCAGCAGCAGCAGCAGCAGTCGTCGCAGCTGAGCAGCAGAGGCAGCAGCTACACAAGTCAGCAAGCAGCAGCAGCAGCCAACCGTCAACGAATTGTGGCCAAAAGCTGTGCAAATTGATTGAGTCCAGTGAAAAATCAGTGGAAATCAATTGCCCCAGTCCTTGTGGCACACGCAACGTGCCTGAAAGTGGCCCAAAGTTCAGCGAAAAGTCGTCGCAAAGCGTTGGCCAAACTGGCGACGATTTTGGCAGCCACAACGACGACGACAACGATACCAACAACAACGACAACGACAACAACCACGACGACGACGACGACGACGCGCGACGTACAGAAAAATTTGTGCAAAAAATCAGGCAAAGCGCGTTGCCTGCTCGCGAGCCACATCATTTTTTTTATCCCAGTGAAAGTGTTGAGACAGATGCAGCAGCAGTAGCAGCAGCATCAATAGTGACAGCAGCATCAGCAGCAGCAACAGCAACAGCAGCCTTAAGCTCCAAAAAGGAGCAGCAGCAGGAGGAGCAGCAGGAGGCGGGGCAGGCGCCATTGTCATTGCCACACTCACCGCACCCTCCTTGCCCCAACGATACCCAGCGAGCCCAGCAAACCCACGAACCAACTGCCACCAGCAACTCATCCTTGACTGGATGTGGTGGCATTGATAATGTCGCTGGCATTGCTGCTGTCCGCCCACAAAAAAGTTCCTGGCCTCTGGATTACGTGAGGAGCAGCATCCCACATACAGCAGCAACATGCAATGACAACGGCAACCAGTCAAAGCCCAGCGATTTAAGTGCATCATCCGAGGGGAAGCTCATCGATTGCGAGTCCTTGGTGGGCAACACAGTGCAATCAGCATCACCAACAGCAGCAGCAGCAGCAGCAGCAGAAATAGCAGCAACTGCAGCAGCAGTAGCAACAAGCTGCATTGAGCAGGATCTCATCGATTTTGAGCACGACTTGGGCGAGGATTTTGTGGCCAGTCAGCGCTTAAAGCGACTGCAATTCAATTTTCAGGGACGCGTGGCCAGTAGTAGTAACATTGATTGTGTAAAGGCATCCTTGAGACCACAACAACAACAGCAGCAGCAGCAGGAGCAGCAGCAGGAGCAACAAACAATAAGCATAACAAAGAAACTACCCCCAGATACCGATAGCGATACCAGCCAACAACCCCAACTCCAAAGCCCCAGCGAAGCACACCAAACCCAATCCACTCAAGGCGCAGACAATAAGGCGATTGCATCCATTATCGCAGACCCAAGTGCAATTCAATTAGATGCGGATGCCATTCCAGCAGCACCATTGCCAAATGAAAGCGAAACAACAGCCAGCGACAGACAAACAGCTGAAAATCCCAAGGAGCAACATTTCCTGCTGAATACGCACTCCGAGTGGCCAGTGCGCAGGATCGAGAAGGCGGAGACGGAAACGGAGGCGGAGAGCCATACCCACAACCACAGCCAGAATCGGAATCAGAATCAGCATCCGAATCAGAGCCAGAACCAGAACCAGAAGCAGAACCAGGACCAAGTGGTGATTGAAATCGAAACGGATTGCGAGGAGCACGACGCGTCCAGGGAGGATTGCTTGAGGCGCTCTGCCTTTGTGCCCGCGCAGTCGAGTTGCAAGGAGACCGGTGACTTTGGCACATCGCTGAGCGAGTTCGATGTGCAGCGGTTTGGCGAGTATCTAAAGGCCGCCCGCCAATTGCAGTGGCATCATCTGAACTCCAGCCGCAGCCGGAAGCAGCCGGATATCGGCAGCACCAGCAGTTTCCAGTGCTACGACGAGCTCCTGGCCGAGTTCGTTAGCGAACAGCAACAGGAGTACTTGCTGTACGAGGGCTATTCCGATTGCGATAACAATTCCAACTCCAACTCCAACTCCAATTCGAATTGCGATAGCCAGGAGGAGTTTGATTGCGAAAGAGCCGCCTGCCAGTGCCATGAGTGCCTAGCCAGCCGGGTTGAGAACACGTCCACTTGCGCCAGAGGCATCGTCAGCGTTACAGCAGCCCATCTTGATCGAACCCCAGAACCCACCCACCTGACCAACGGCCACAGGATGCGCGAGGTGAATGGTCAGTTGCGCGGCCTGCTCAAGAAGCCAAATCGACCGCCACCGGCCCGCAAGAATCGCGTCGTCTTCGATGAGACGCGCAACGAGTTCTTCGAGGCCGACTACATAATCCTGATCCGCGAGGATTGCGCCTACGACGAGGAAGACGAGGAGCCATGCACCTGCGGCGAGCACGAGCTGGTGCGTCTGTGCTGCGAGGAGGGATGCCAGTGCAACTACGCCGTCAATCCTGCCGAGGCGGGCGAGGGCAGGACGCCACAGGTGAGTTGGCAAGGGATCTCCAGGAATCTCCATAGGGATTACTTTGGCTGGGATATATCTGACATTTCCAGTGCTCGGGGTCTTGATTGTACTTTATACTTGTAACTTTATAAAGTGGCCAAATGAACCACATACCTTCAAAGCTCTGGGGTTCTTAATATAATGTGGGAAAGCAGCTCCTTTTAACCAGAGTTTTAATGTGTTTCTGGCTTCCTATAGCCATTATTTCAATATAAGAAATAGCTGCATTTTTGCCGACTTCAGCCCTCGAGAAGCCCATGGCACCTCCTCTCCGGACAACCAGTCCGATTCCGAGTATAAGCTGATTAGCTGTCTCCCTCCTCGCCGAGTTCCAGTTGCTCAGCGGGGCTGGGACTGGGAATGGGTTGGGGCTTGGGCTTGGGTGTCGAACTGGTGGTGCTGCCGGTCTGGGCCACCGTTTTGCCTTGGCTAATGAGGGCAACCTGAAACGGACCTCTGCTTTTAACTATCCCATTTCACTGGGGTCGCCAACTTAAATGGGTTTATTACTCACTTCGCTCTGCGTGTGCAACTGCCGGTTGGCTTTGGAGCAGGGCTTTTCCCGGCTGATGACGTGCTTTTGTCAATTTGAAGTTCGAAGCCTTGTTGATTTTCGCATTTACTTAGCCACACAGCTCGTTAGAGGTAGCTGCATTTCTGCAAAGTAGCATCTCGCCCGGGAATTGCCAGAAAGTCAATCAAAGTCATTTTTAATTGCTTGTAAATTGTGAGTACGCACTATTTGATCGATTTGTACGCCTCCCTGGCAGTATGCGTTATTTAAATTAGTTCAGTTTCATGTTTGATGTGCAGGAAGCCCTAAAATAATGAACCTAAACCCCGAACTTTAACTGGCTTATCTCTTGCTTTTGCACACTCCAAAAACTCCGAGTTGTAATCCTTGTCGCACAATATTCGCAATTAGGAGCCCGAAGTTTATTTTCCTTTTCAATTCGGCGATTTGTTCGTTATCTGCTAGCCAGCAGTGGGACATGGTGGATGTGGATGTGGAATTGGGCCTCCATCTCAGCCATGCCGCTTTTCATGTTAATTACGCCAAACGCTGTCCAACTTTTGCGTGTTATCACAGTGTATGTGTGCGTGTAGAATTTGAAGAAAACAAAAGGACAGCAGAGCAGCCACAGTGTCCTCGTTTCTCCCGCCCAAGTGGCAGTCAAGCAGGAGTCAAGCCGCAGGACACCCGTCCACGCCCACAGTGCTACATCACATCATCCATTGAGATACACATCCTTGTTGTAAGAATGCATGTTTGGCTGTATGTACATAATGGCTGCGAGTTTGTCCTCGCAGTCTCTATTGGCAAGTGTGTATAAATCACTTAAGAACTTTTATACAAAATGCTTTTCTTGTGCCAGTAACTCGAAACTGCAGTAATAACCACTGACATTGTGTTCGCACCCTCGCTTCACCCCTTTATAAGAAATAGGAACACACCCAACACCCAACACCCAACCAAGTCTGTGTGATAGATTGCTTTATGAATTGCCCCCCGTATCGTGATGAACATAAGGCGTTATGTGTGTTAAGGACATGCAGGAAAGTTGCCGCCAATATTTGGACATTCCTTCCAAAGCATCGCACTCATTATGTCCTCCATGCCACACCATACCATGCCATCATTGCCACTCTCACCTCGACACTCGTATCGATCCTGAGCGGCCCTCGAGTTGCGTTTAAATTTCAATTTGCTGCCACATAAGCGACACTTGAGTGCGCCGCTTTTTGCTTATCTACTTCGGCCCTCCTCCTGATGTCCTGGCAGGGTCCTGTCTGAGAGCCCCGACCGAGAGTGCATCGCAAGAAAAGAATCATTTTCGAGTCAGGAGTACATTCGTTTATCAACCGATACTTGTGTATCTCAGCGATGCGGATAAACGACTTACAGGATCTCTGCTTATAGAATACCCCAAAAGTCCCATGAATAGGTAGTGAATATTTGTGTGCACCTAAAATATTGTAGTGAATTTAGAATTGCTGTAAAAAGTTGTATAGCTTCATAATCTGAGAGGTGTATTAAAGTTATTGCATTCTTTATTATTTTTAATCTCCCAGTGTTTCGTAGTTCACCTCTTGCTGTCTTTGCCCAAGCAAACTTTGGCAGCTTGCTGCTGTGTTTATTTTTCTCAGTGTGGGCGGCCAATGTACTTGACTTGGCGCTTCTTGAGCATGTCCCCTCCTCGATGCATCTGTGTGCGTGTGTGAGTGTGTGTGTGCGGGCTCTCTGAAGAGTTTAATATGCATTTAGTGTGTGTAACAAGTTTGCCGAGCACGTTGCATAACACACAGACAGTTAGCTAGCCACATCCTTGGCCGGAGAAAGAATACGCCGTATTTATGCAAAACTTTTCGCCTTTTCTCAAGGCGAGTTATGACAGGACCAGGTTCTGCCCCCACCTCCCCCTCTCCAACCAAGAAAAAAACATGGGGAAAAATTGAAAATGCATAGAGGAAGCACACGGAGATCCTTGTCTAGACATTGCAGCCAGCTGCAGTTGCAAGTAAACAGGATTTTGGCAGTTCCCGGGGGAATTCCGGCAGAATGGAGTTCCAAATCGCTGGCAACTTTTACATGTGCAGCACAACTCTTTATGGCTTTTCCCCCGGCTCTCTGAGAACTGGGTTCCTTGCCTTTTCCAACTTCTTCCGACCCTTCAGATGGAAAAGTGCACAGATTAGGGGGAAATATGTGCATACTTGCTGGTGTCATACAAAAGGATAAAGCTAAAAGGCTAAATGTGCACCCGCTTTTCATAAACTATGTAATACAAATGAAAGAAAATCGGCAATTTCCCTGCCGCCATTAGTGGCCCAAACACCATGCATTCCACTAGCAGTGTAGGCTTCGCCATTTCAGCAGTTGAAATATATCCATCAGATATGTGGCTAACTGCGCCATTAGGAGCACGAATAAATTTCACAGTGGCAGTACCAGAAAGCAGGGGCTTAATGCTGATTTATGGCGCCCACTTCATCATCCCAGTCCCTACATCCTGTCCATGCACAAGCACTTGCATATAGGATGCATGTGCGCAAGGACACGTTGCCACTCACGACCATACAACTCAATTAGCTTAATTTGCGGTGATGCAACTCGGCTTACGAGCATTATTCACTTAGCAAGCTTACCTCCACCTAATTTGGTTATGCCACCATCCCTTTGCAGAGCCCCAAATATCAGCCGCCAATTGAGTTCGTCGACGATGCCGCACTCAGTCCGCCCGACGGCTACAAGGACAGCAGTCTGAAGAACACGCTCGGCGGCGCCCTCAGCGGTCACATCTTTGGGGCGCAGCACCTGCAGCAGCTGCAGGTCATCCAGCGGCTGCAGCAGCAGCGCGCCGCAATGCTGGCCGCCCGCAGTACCACAGGCGGGCAGATACCGCCCCCGCCCCCGCCCGTCGGCAGTGCCCAGCAGCAGCAGCAGCAGCAGCAACAGCAGCAGCAACAGCAGCAGCAGCAACAGCAACAGTCGCATCAGCAACCGCATCATGGAGCCATGCAGCAGCAGCAGTCGGAGGAGGACCTGCAGGGCGTTTGCACCGAGTGTGCCGAGTGCGCCGAGTGTGCGGCCAAGCAGCTCCAGGAAGCAGGTGAGTGTCTGCACTGCGCGAAAATGCTGGCTGCTGTGCAGTCCCATCTATATTTGGTCAGAAACGTGGGCTTGCAAGGGGCATGACCGCGTTTGAGCTCGGATATCCCTGACTAGATTTAATGGTGGGGCCATGACACTATGGAACTAAATATATACACATCCATCCACATCCAACTCCAACAATTGCAGCGCCGACTCCATGCCGCAATGCAATTAGTGGGAATCCCGCGGGAACGAGGACGCGTTGCGTTCTTTTCATTCACAAACGCTTTCGTTTGCCTTTGTGTAATCTAATTATGAATTATTTATGCAAACATTCGTTGCTCGTCGCCCGTTGACATCCTGCCCAGCTCGGCTCGTCCTGCGAGCACCCGCCTCGGGGTCCTTTAAATTGGACGCCATTTTTAATGCTCCCTGCTACGCCGCCAGTTCGCTGCACTTGCTCTTGTAATTTTCTAGTTAATTTAATTCGGAAAAGTTGGACGGCAATGGGGCGGCCTTTTGGCTGGGCAGTCGGGTTCACAGACGTTCAGCCGTTCAGCCGTTCAGCCGGCCGGACAGTGGAGTGTCAATAAAGAGCACTCAACAGATATACACAACTCCAAGGCCCTTGGCATGCATCATCAGAGTTATTGGACTAAAAATGGCAGCACGCTAGAATGGTTACCCCATCGCCCAAATACTATCTACTCAAGTATCCCTAGCTGCTGCTTAGCTCTAACTTGGCAATTAGGCAAAGTAAATAAAGGGCACCTTTCGGTACATCATAGCTGTTGGAACAATTCCATGGTGACGCCATATCGGCATCGAAAGCGTTAGGCAACCAAATGAAATCGGTAAAGTTTCGGCTTTGCGCCATAAATAATTTGGATGGCATTTTCGGGCTGTTTGCCCAAGTCGCCCGCATTTTCATCGAGTCGGTTCTGTTCTATTGATTGATTTACTTCGGTTCGAATCGAATCGCATCGCATCGCATCGAATGGGACACCTAACCCCCTAGAAGGATGTTTGAAATGGCTGGCATTTGCATTAATGTCGGTGGTCACGCTTTATTGGCTGCCAAAGAGACAACCGGGAAACGGGAGAAAATAGGGAAACAGGGGAGAGTTTTGTTTATTTTATTCTTCTTTTTTTTTTGCGGGGTAGACCATTTTCCGGGGGTTTCCCCCTGGCGCTCTGGGTGCACTCCTCATTAATTGTTGCGCCCAACGAACCGCGAATGCGACAAGCCCACAGATCGCCCCATATACAAATGCCATCGAACCACCGAAAACTGAGATGCCGATCCTTCAAGCGCGCTTCCGCTCCAGAAGCAACAGGCGGAAGTCCCCCGAACCCCCGAACCAAAGCAGCTATTAAACATTTGTTCGATGTGATGTAGGAACTCAAGGTAGCCATGCATGGGTGTACGCACTGTAATCCCAGCGGTGCATCATTCAATTAATTACAAACTATTGGCTCGGAGCTAAATACTAGTCGATCGATCTAATTAACTCATCTCACATTGCAGAATGCAGCTCCCCGCAGTGCCCGGAGGAGCTGACCCCACTGGGAGTGCCCGCCGTGGCCATTCTGCCGCTGCACACCAGTTCCCCCGAGCGCCGCATCACCCAGAAGGAGATCATCGCCGGCGAGGAGCGGCCCAAATACGTGCTGCAATCGCAGTACAAGCCATCGCCCACAGGAGGTAAGATATCAGCCAGCTCGACCCGAACCTATCCCAATCCCCATCCAATCCGAATCCAAGTCTACTATCACGCATTTATGCACAGCAAGCAATGCTACCATCGCTACATGGCCATATTGCACGTCTCATAGATCACAGATCTCCGATTTTGATTGGGATGTCATCAAATTGAAATTTCCCATCCAAGCATTGGCCATTGAGCATTTCCCTTTAACGCAAAAGAACCGATTCGAACGGCTTTGAACTTTATCATAGTATTATCCTATTTTGATACACATTACTTTAGTAATATGTTTAATGAGGGAGTGCGCAGAGCCAACCCATAAGAACTATCAGTTTAATGTTTGCATATTTCATATAAGAACGACAATGTTTGATTCAATATTTGAGTATCAGCCAAACATGTACATATCAAGCATTCGCTATTCACGATCTCCATATCGACATCGATCGATCTCAATCCTCCAATAAAATGTTCAATTCTGAAACCAAAACAATGCCTTCCAACGGTTTTGCGTGCTGCTATCTGCTTGTACGTGTAGTGGTGAAATCTAGAAAGGATTCGGGCAGTAGCAAGGCCAGTTCCGGATCCATCTCCGGCTCCGGCTCCGGCTCCAGTTCCGCCTACGGGACAGCCACCCAAGTCCCGGTCCCCGTTCCAGTTCCAGCCACGGCCATCAGTAGCCATCAGTCCTCGAAAAATAAGCGATTTGTTGTTGAAACCATTACTACTATGACCACAGTGACCGAGCGCCGGATCATCCGCGAGGCGCACGAGGATGCGGCGACCGCTGGATCCGCTCCTGCACCTGGTACCGCCGCGCCAATGGTGGCAGCCGCGTCCGCTGGCGGCGCTGATGCATTACCGCCCGCCTTGCCGGCCAAGGCGAGTGCTACAGCAGCAGCAGCCGCAGCTGCAGCAGCAGCCGCCGCAACAGCAGCGGCATCCGCATCCACATCCACATCCGCATCAGCATCCGCCTCCGCCTCCGCATCCGCATCGGAGCAGCAGCAGTTCGAGGCGCAGAAACCACCACCCATACCGCCCAAGGAGACCTCACCCACGCAGATCAGCGGCATCCTGAAGGGCGGCAAACTATGGAAGCAGGACTCGATCTCACAGGTGAGTTGCCTACTTGGATAATCAAGCGATGGCTATTTACTGATACTCCATGTTGTCCATGCCAAGCAGCAGTCGGATGATCAGAACAATACCACCTCGGAGGACGAGAGTGGTGGCACCAAGCGGTCGGTGAGGTTCGTGACCGAGGATCAGGCCAATGCCGGCACCGACAGCGATGCCCAATCCCTGGCCGGTGATCTGGATGACAGCGAGAACCAGATCAACGAGCTGATCCCGATCAAGAAGCACTCGACGCTCTTCAACAACGCCCTGCGTCCCAATTCGGCGGTGCGCCAACTCTTCCCGAGCGTCTCAGCTCATCAGGCACCGGTGCTCACCTCGGAGGCGCTCCGGGCCTTCGATGAGTCCAAGCGGGCTGGCTGCCTGGTCACCCACCTGCCAGGCAGCTGTGGTGACTCCGACACCTTGCGGAGGAGCATGGAGCGCAATATACTGCGACGATCGCTGATTAAGTAAGTGATAGATGCTTGTGGGGTAACTAGGTAATCTCATTAAAATACTTTTTGTTTGGCTATTAGGAAAAAGGCTGTCAAATCGGACATTTCGCTGGAGGAGCGCATCAAGCAGCTGACCTGCGACATCGACGAGGATCTGGCCGAGGAACTGCAGCGGGCCGTGGACGAGGATGCTGAATCTGTGGCCGAACGTGCCGATGAGTTGGCACAGCGCAACAGTCCCGCCGGCGAGGAGAATCCCAATCCGGTGCCTGGTTCTGGACAAGCTCACAAGTTCGTCAATGGCGAGAAGAGCTTCTCGCCGAGCAGCTCCGTGTCGAGCTCCTCGAGCGGATCGTCGGCCTACAAGAAGATCGCAGACATCTTCAACCGCGACAAGAAGCAGGAGAAGATCATGGAGATGGAGGAGAATCCCATAGTTATCATACCACAGGTGAGTACACTTCCTTGCCGGCGTATACAAAGTTCTCTAGTTGATTTCTCTGCAGGAGTGCCGTTGTCCCGCTGCTCCGGACTTGGGCATGGGCATCCAGGTGCCGGTGGTCCACACGCAGATCCACCGCACTCCGCCCCGCCAAACGGAGCCGAAGCGTCAGTTCCTCTCCTCCACTTTGGCCCCGCTGACCGCCTGTGTGGCTGGCAACAAGGACGACCTATCCTCCTACTACACATTGGCCGCTGCAGCTGCCGCTCATCCGCATGCCCATGGCCACGCCCACACGCATGCGCATGCCGCCCACTACGCCGCCGCCGCTGCGGCAGCCGACTTCAATATGGGGCAGCTACTGGGAGCGGCTGCAGCCGCTGCCGCCTCTGGAGATCCGGCTGCACAGCATGCGGCTGCCATGGCGGCACAGGGATTGGCCCAAGGACTGGCTGCTGCCGGCGGAGGAGTGGGAGCAGGAGGACTTGGTGCTGGAGAGGATGCTCGCAAGGTGGCGCCCGATGTGATTGCCGGCACACCGGGTCAGGAGGTCGCTGGGCGGCAGGAGCAGGACGAACTGGCCGCCTTCGCCCAGGCGGACGCCAAGCGGACCGAGCAGCTCAAGAAGCGCTACACTGGAGCGGGCTCCGAGCCCAGTCAATCGCAGGCCAGCAGCGACGATGACGAGCAGAACGACTATGGGTTCAACAAGCGTCCATCGGTGCGGGGCATCAAGCCCAAGTTCAGTTCGACCAACGAGATCCTGGCCCAGATGCAGGAGCAGCTGAGCGCGGCGATACCCACGGTGGTCAATAGCCAGCCGGTGCAGCATGCGGTCAAGGGTTATGCCATGCCCAACACGCTCAAGCAGAATCCCTCGCCGCAGAACGTGCCACAGAACTTGCAGCAGCAGCAACAGCAGCAGCAGCAACAGCAGCAACAGCAGCAGCAACATCAGCAGCAGGCGGTGCATCAGCAACACCAGCAGCAGTTGCAGCAGCAAATGGCCGCCGCGCTGCAGAAAACGGAGCAGCGAACGTGGAGCTTCTACAGCGAAACTGGGGAGCAGCAGCGCTTCCCCATGGACGCGGCTGCCATACAGCAGACCTACTACCAGACCCTGCCCGCCGGCACCATGTTCCGCCAGACGATGATCCAGCAGGGCGCCACGTCCGCCGGCGGCGCCGATGATGCATCACTCCTGTACGCCGCCGCCGCAGCCGCCCAAAATTGCCAGAGTGTCACCGCGACGGCAACGGCCACCGCCACCGCCACGGCCATCGAGCAGAGCAAGCACAGCAGCTACAGCAGCCACTTCGCCAGGAGCCCCACCCGGCGGCCGGAGTCGCCTCCCCCACTGCGCAACTACCACCAGACCATGGTCCTCATCCCGTACAACGCGGAGACCTACTCCCAGTTCGCCGCCAGCAGCAGCGGCGATCCCAAGCTGGCGCACATCCAGCGCCAGAACATCCTCGAGTACCAGCAGGTGAGTGGATTTGTGGCCTAAGTATGATAGATACATGTATAGATTGTATAGATAGATAGATGTGTATGAAGATAGATTTGCAAAAGAAAGTTTTTTTTTTCTTTTTTTATTTACAATTTATCTTAAGTAGTTCTTAGTCTGTCTATATATTTTTTACTATGTTTTGCTATTTCTACTTTAACAAAAGAGATTCCTAAAATTTTATGGATACTTGCATTTGAGATATAAAATGGAGCATTAACAATTTGTCTTAATATTTTTGATTGGTAGCGTGTTAAATCTCAATATTTGAGTTGCTGGCAGTAAATTTGAATGCCCATCGATTGTGTGTTTTTTAGTATCCAAGATTTTGACCAAAATATTAACTATTTTTGTGCATTCCAAGAAACTAAAAGAAACCCAAAAGTATCTTGTACCTATTAACGCTATTTACTTTCTGCACGGTACCAGGTAACCCAGCAGACGATTCGTGTGCCCATTGGCTACGCCCTGCCCGGCATGCAGTTGCATGTGGTGAGTGGGCGTGGCCATGCCGCCCACTACGCCCAGCACCAGCAGCAGCATCAGCAGCAGCAACAGCAGCAGCAGCAGCAACAGCAGCAGCAGCGCCTGATGCAGGGACACTATCAATTCGGACCGGATGGCGGAATGCCCGGATTCAGCGAGCGCGGAGTGCCCGAAGGAGCCGCCGCCGTATCGCACAGCGATTGCAACGCCATGGTTTCGCCAACTTCAGCAGCAGCAGCGGTACAGCAGCAGCAGCAGCAGCAGCAGCAACAGCAGCAGCAGCAGATGCAGCAGCAGCAACAGATCGCCGGCGGAGTGGGTGTGGGCGCCCAGGCCCAGGGATCCGTGTACTATGCGATGAACGTATGACCCGCGCTCGAATAGTCGCTGCCAGCGGCGGTCATTGTCGAGCGCCGCCAGTGTCAACTAGTCGAAATGTCAGCGACTTCAGTGCATTTGGGTAGCGGCGGCATGGGCGGCAGATGAGCGCCCGCCCCGCGATATTCCCAATTCGAATCCGAGTCCGTGATTGAGTCCTCGAGTTCCCATCAGGTCCCATCCGCTGATTTCAGTTGCCCCTCAGTTGACCCTAGCGAGCGCTTTTGAATCAGTTCGATCTTCCGTGTTTAGCCGGTGTATCTGTGTTTGAATTTCAATCTGTATCTGTAAGCGTAACCGTATCTGTTTTTGCGTCAGTATGATTATCATTAGCCGTGTCCGTATCCGTGTTGTCAGTATCTTTGTGTCTGTGAACGTGTGTGTCACAAATACTCAAGTACGGCTTGTCACTAGGAGCCTTCAAAGCTTTCAAATCACTTGACTTTCTTCGATAAATGCAAGGACAAGACATTTCAAGGGGTTCCGCACACTGTTCAGCGTTTTTGAGGTGATTTCAAAGCTCTTGAGGCTTCCAAGGCGCCCACGATTATAATAGAATTTACAAAGTAAACATCCAAAGTTGGTGTAAACGATGCAGCGGCATCAAAACAATTTTGATACTATGTGCATCATGGAAACTGAAACGGCGGCTGCATCGTTTACAACCGGCTTCACCAACGAAATCCAAAGTGAGTCACTTCACGTTATGCAATGCTCCAAAAAGTACATTTTAAGTTCAGCCTTGTCGTCGAGGGTTTTTATTGAATAGGTATTAATATTTAGTCGAGTGTAGTGAAGATAGGATGCAAATCTAAACCAAAACACAACCAAATCACATGAATTTATTTCGAGCATGTACATGCTGGGTGCTAGTAATGCAAAAAGAACAACAACAACAACAAAAACACAACAAAACCAAGAAGAGTTAATTAAGCTATAAAGGTTATATTTAACAAAGTTAAACCTAAAACAAAGATATGTAATAACATTATTTTAAATTCGTTTTTTTTGTTTGCTGTTAGCCAAGGAAACCGAGTTTTGCTCAATGAAAAGTGCATTTGATTTTAAACGCATCTACACGTATATGAAAACCAACATACATTATTATATATCGACATATGCGAATGCTTAACTAAATTATACATAATTAATTATATTTAATTCAATTGATATTATAAAGTATTTTCAATGTAGTGCAATTTGTTGCTAACTCCAAAAGCTCTCTTAGCCAAGAGTATTAAATAAAAACATAGATATATATATACATATATATATATACATTATGAGTATCGAAATTATAGGACTATTTTTAGGCTTAGGCTTTATTTATAAACAATTTAGTTTTAATTACTTTTTTTTTGTTCTTCATGTATAATAAATTGAAAGAAAGTTGCAACAATTTTTGGTTTCCTACGCTTAAGAAATGTACCGCCATGTTGAAACATGGTACATGTAAAATCTATAGGCAAACACATCTATGTGTACTTAAGCTTTGTATGCTACAGTTTGTTTGGGTTTCATTTGTAGATCGATCAACCTGCATCGCATTCCACATCTTCCACATTCCAGACCCACAGAGATGTGTGTTGAAGCCCTGGGAGAATTCAAGACAATGGCGCCTAGAAGTATGCAACAAAGTGGGGCGCATTGTCTTGAATTCTGCAGGCGAGACCACGCATCTCCGATCGCCTTTCTCCCAAAGTGAGAGCATCAGTGCCAAAAGCTTCCATCCCAGACCTCTCAATCATTCCATACCGTTCAATCATCTCACCTAGTTGATAGAGTTACCATTTAAATCGTGCAATCATACGAAAAATGTTAGAAGATACCACACAAAGTCATGTTGAACCGGGGAAAATATCGTATCTCTTTGAAAACATAGGTCTGCACACAGAAACATACGCATAGATGTAAGTGCATTTGTGCATGCACCCCGCATACAAAACATTAGGATGATATACGGACAAACATACATACATACATATATAAAATATGCATAATGTATTTCGATTCAGATATTGTGTTAATGTCTATAACGAACATATTGAAACCTATTGAAGCAAACACGAATTAAGAGTGCAATAATGTTAAAATGTTAGGTGTCCGCTGACCGGAAACGGAAGCCGAAAATTATGGAAAAGGACAACGCAATTCCGTGGGAGCGCGCGAGCGAGATAGATAGTTGCTCGGCCATTTAGACAGAGATGGCGCGAGCCGGTAGAGACAGAGATAGCGCGCATAACGAAACAGTTTAGTCATAGATTTAAATACACAGACATTTACAGAGCGATGATTAACGATTAACTATAAACGATAACTAAAGCGTGGTCTTAGGTGTTCGATATTCAAGTTTTTTTGTTCATTCTTCGGTTACATTTTTCGTTGCACTTTTTCGCGGTTCCACTGAGAGATTCCGATACTAGAAATTGACTAGAAAACGCAGCGCGATTTGCATATTATATAAATACAGTTAGAGCCAGATAGCGAGCGAGAGTAAAGCGATAAATTATAAATAAATATATATGTATATATATACATACAGGCATACATATATATACATGGATATATACTAGATGTTTATGTAATACATAAATGGCATTGAACGAATTCCAAGCACATTGCAAAAATCCCAAATCAAAAAATCGCATGAAATTGATCCGTACCTTTTGTGTTTTACTCCCAGATGTAACTCAATTTTTTCTATGCAAAAGTAGTTGAAAATTATAAAATGAAAAACGGATAAAAAATAAACATACATATAAATATTTAGACACACATCGACAGTATCCTATTGGAATGATTTCTTTGAGAACTTGATTTGCGATTTTGGATATGCAGCAAGAAAAGTAAAACAAACAACAGAACATGTGTAAGAAATAGTATTAATAAGGTCGGATATTAATGCCCCGACATTACGCTATATGTATGTGGGGCAAGCAACAACAAATCCAATAAAAACAAAGTAATTAACGACAAAAAACGGATGAAACAACCAAGATTATGTAAGCGATGGATCGAAGTAAGAATTGATGCGAACGGCACAAGTATATAACAAATTTCAAACAAGTATATGACTGAGCCAATGACTCAAAATACATTTTAAACAAAAAGGAAAACCAGAAATATATGAAAAATATAAAAATGATAAGCAAGTGAATGGTAACTTCATTTTCAATGGGCTTTGGGAACTGGTGCTTTATATATGTTTATATTTATCTTAATACAACGGTGACCTATTTTCAATGACCAATAATATTGGACCCCAAACATATTTCATTAGAATGTTTTATTCACAACTAGAAAATGTTTAATTTCTGAAATTTTTAACTATACCCACAACTGGTGGGAAAGTATCATTAGTTATGACTGCTTGGGCATTTCTCATTGAACTGTACTGTAGACTCCCTGCCATTCAGGAATGTATATGTTGTGGGCACCGCACTTTCACCTCCAGGGATTGATAATTCCCAGCCTATCTGCCAGTGCCCATCGCTCAGATCGTCTGCTGTGCAATCAGTCGGAACTGGAGCTCTCACTTCGCCTTGTTATCGGTTCGCTGGGGTCTCATCTTCGGTCCGCTGGCGGAGATCAGTTTGCCAGCATCCGCCGCTCGAGGAGTCACGATCTGAGCTGAGCACCATGAGCTGTCCCTATGCAGGAAACGGGTGAGCACCAGCACGTGCTGTCCATAAATGCCATTCGATCATCAGTTCTCATCAATCCGAACCCATTCAGAAACGATCACGATGATTCGGCGGTGCCATTGACCACGGAAGTGGGCAAAATCTATGGAGAGTACCTGATGCTGGACAAGCTGCTGGATGCCCAGTGTATGCTCTCCGAGGAGGACAAGCGACCTGTGCACGACGAGCATCTGTTCATCATCACGCACCAGGGTGAGTAGGATTGGAGCTAGATGCACTCAATGATATTTATGTACATGCTCCACAGCCTACGAGCTTTGGTTCAAGCAGATCATCTTCGAGTTCGACTCCATACGGGACATGTTGGATGCAGAGGTCATCGATGAAACCAAGACGCTGGAGATTGTCAAGCGACTGAACCGAGTGGTTCTGATTCTAAAAGTGGGTTCTTTCTGGAACTACTAGCAACATTGTTTTATAACTTCATTTACACAGCTCCTGGTGGACCAAGTGCCCATTTTGGAGACCATGACCCCGCTAGACTTCATGGACTTTCGCAAGTATCTGGCCCCCGCATCCGGCTTCCAGTCGCTGCAGTTCCGATTGATCGAGAATAAGTTGGGCGTGCTGACAGAGCAGCGGGTGAGATACAACCAGAAGTACTCGGATGTGTTTAGCGACGAGGAGGCGCGCAACTCGATCCGCAACTCGGAGAAAGATCCCTCACTACTGGAGCTAGTGCAGCGCTGGCTGGAGAGGACACCTGGTCTGGAGGAGAGTGGCTTCAACTTCTGGGCCAAGTTCCAGGAGAGCGTCGATCGATTTCTGGAGGCACAGGTGCAGAGCGCCATGATGGAGCCCGTGGAGAAGGCGAAAAACTACCGCCTAATGGACATCGAGAAGCGACGCGAGGTGTACCGCTCCATCTTCGATCCGGCGGTGCATGATGCACTGGTGCGACGTGGGGATCGCCGGTTCAGCCATCGAGCGCTCCAGGGCGCCATCATGATCACCTTCTACAGGGATGAGCCTAGGTTCAGCCAGCCCCACCAGCTGCTCACCCTGCTGATGGACATAGACTCGTTAATAACCAAGTGGAGGTGTAAGTACTGCATGTTTTTTTCATCATACATTCATTTATTCCATGGCTGCATGGTAAATACTTCAATTCTTAACCAACTACTTTCTATTCCCGCTGCAGACAATCACGTGATCATGGTGCAACGCATGATTGGATCCCAGCAGCTGGGCACTGGTGGCTCATCCGGATATCAATACCTGCGCTCCACTCTCAGGTGATCATCGCAGATATAAATATACACATATATACGTTCGATCGGGGATCAGTGAACTCCAACTGCTCTTCTCCCCTTGCTTTGGTTTCAGTGATCGCTACAAGGTGTTTCTGGATCTGTTCAACCTGTCCACTTTCCTGATTCCCCGCGAGGCGATTCCACCGCTGGACGAGACCATTCGCAGGAAACTGGTCCACAAAAGTGTCTGACAATCGGCAGAGGATCCCATTGGTCAGCGATTGGCTATGAATTGTTTGTTCCACCTACTGTTTCTCGTTTTGGTGTAATAAAGTACTTGTTTTAGTCTTCGTTATTTCATGTGCTGTGCTCATTCCTTAGTTGACCTGGCAATAAGTTGTATCTCTAGAATCAACAGTAACTTAGCATACTCTATGGGAATGTGAGTCAGCAGCCTGAAAGTAGACCATAGATATTCTGGTTGTCTTTTAATGGTATAAGGTAAATTCACTTACAAAATGCCTTTCTAAGCAAGAAGTTTCGAAAACGATTAAGACTGGGGCTACAACCATTTGTGCAATAACAATTATAACAATTATTTCATAATACAATACAATTTTCAGAAACCAAAACGAGTTCCCGGAATTATAATGGCCTGTTTTATTATTTTATCACATTACCAAATTCGAAACATTAATAGCTGCATATGCAGTTTAATCCATATAATAACATGTTTAGGACCTCCATTGTTTAACGATCAGAACCCGAAATGCCTTGTCATTTATTTTTTACCCCACTTTAAAAGCACATTAATCATACCAAATCTTAACAATTGAATGGCTAGCATTTTAAATAGATCATAGGTACATTTGTATGTAGGTTGCTTGTCGTCTTGGCAGCGTTCAAGTTTTGCAATGGGGATTTGGAGAGCTTTCCAAGTCGACTATCGCTGTTTGCTCAAATAGAGCACACAAAACATAACCTTTGTCAATGGCCTTTCCCTCGCCGATAAGCCTCAGATTTAAGCACTGAGTTTTCAGTTTCATTATTATTTATTAGAACGGGATGGCGAGCCGCTCCACTCCGCTCCCTCCTTCACGAGCAGTGTAATTAATTGGGTTTTGTGCAATGGGCAGGGGAATGGAATCGGCATCCGTATAGAGTCGTCTTCCAGGGGAGCGGCAAGGAAGGGAACCAGAACAGAGCAGAACAATACTGAGTTCCAAGGCATTATGTAAGCCCAATTCGCTTTAATCACTTACGTGAGCCATTTCCGAAGGCAAATACAATTTCGGACTGCCCCTCATTTGCTTAGATGCCTGCGACTATTTTTGTCCGGCCCGGTCAGGTCAGGTCG